ATTAGAATATATGCATTGTCCTTGAAAATGATTGGTCTACACCAAGGGATGGCTTTCTTTTGAGCACCAATTGGGTCGAGGCTCAAAAGAAAGCCGTCCCTTGGTGTAGACCAATCAGTTTCAAGGACAATGCATATATTATCATAGCATGTTGTTTGCATTTTGACTGCAGGTATTGTGGTTAATGCAGACATGAATCCTCGTAAAAAGGATTCAGTTTTGTTGCCAGAAAAAAGGGGGAAAACCCTATTACTAATTTTTAATTTCATTAAAAATTTCTATCTACGTGACTTTACCGAAAGAACCAAGAATATAAAGTCAGTCAAATCAAGATGAGGGGCATCTCGAGCACCCCCCCCCCCCAGGGGGTGCATGCACCCCAGGTTAAGAACCACTGGCTCTTACGTCAACCCAATACATCACACAGGGAGAGTGTGTTGAACGAGAAATCGGATGAATACGTTCTCATGTCGAATACAACTTGTGCTGTGGAACGTATAGAATAATAAAACATTAACGGTGCGTACACTATTGGACACGTGTACAGAAGTGTACGGGAATTAAAAAAGAAAATAGTGTGGCTGAACCGCGTGGTGACCTGGGGCTCGCGATGGGCCGCTTGGGAGACGAGACCGAGACAACACAGAGCAGACGAGATGGAGATAGAGACGGAGGTAGAGACGTAGACAACACAGACGAGATAGAAATAGAGACGGAGACGAGATGGAGATGAGACAGAGGCGAGATAAAGACAAGACAGAGACAAGATAGAGACAGAAACAAGATAGCGAAAGAGACAAGACAGACGAGACGGATGATGAGGCAGAGACAAGACAGAGACAAGACAGACACGAGACGGAGACAAGACAGATAAGACGAATGATGAGATGGAGACAGACACGAGAGACAAGACACACGAGACAGACACTAGACAGAGACAAGACAGAGACAAGACAGACACGAGACGGAGACAAGACAGACGAGACGGATGATGAGATGGAGACAGACACGAGACAGAGACAAGACACACGAGACAGATACTAGACAGACAAGACAGACACGAGACAGACACTAGACAGAGACAAGACAGACACGAGACGGAGACAAGACAGACGAGACGGAAGATGAGATGGAGACAGACACGAGACAGAGACAAGAAACACGAGACAGACACTATACAGAGACAAGACAGACGAGACAGACACGAGACAGACACTAGACAGAGACGAGACAGAAACAAGACAGAAACAAGACAGACACGAGACAGATACGAGACAGACGAGACGGATGTTGAGATGGAGACAGAGACGGAGACGAGACAGAGACTAGACGGATGATGAGATGGAGACAGAGACGAGACAGAGACAAGACAGACACGAGACAGACACAAGACGAGACAGCTCCGCGTGCCTTCTTCCATGGCGGCGGCGGCAGCAGCAGCAGTGACGTCACCGCGAGCAGTGACGTGCCTACGCCGTGCAGCAGGAATCCCGCGAGCCACAGAGGAGGAGCGCAACTGGGCGGGGCTCTGGGTGCCGCGATAGCGACACTCGCGCGGTGGTGGTTGGGTGGGGGAAGGTTTTTGTTGTCCAGGCACTGAAATGAAAAAAAACCCGCAAAAAATTTCACACTAAGGCTTTCGAGATCGATATTATTTATAATAAAGGGGGGGGGGGGGGGTTTGTCTTGATTTGAAGCTTTGGTGACTGCGGGAATCCATACTCCTTTGGTTCTCTCGGTAAAGTCACGTTGGTATGTGAGTGGATGAGTGAGTGGTTGGGTGAATGAGTGGTAGGGTGAGTGGGTGGGTGAATGGTTGAGTGAGTGGTTGGGTGGGTGAGTGGCTGGGTCAGTGGTTGGGTGGGTGAGTGGCTGGGTCAGTGGTTGGGTGATTGACTGGTTGAGTGAGTGGTGAGGTGATTGAGTGGGTGGGTGAGTGGTTGGGTGAGTGGCTGGGTCAGTGGTTGTGTGATTGAGTGAGTGGTTGGGTGGGTGAGTGGCTGGGTCAGTGGTTGGGTGATTGAGTGGTTGAGTGAGTGTTTAGGTGATTGAGTGGATGGGTGAGTGGTTGAGTGGTTGGGTGGGTGAGTGGCTGGGTCAGTGGTTGGGTGATTGAGTGAGTGGTTAGGTGATTGAGTGGATGGGTGAGTGGTTGAGTGGTTGGGTGGGTGAGTGGCTGGATCAGTGGTTGGGTGATTGAGTGGTTGAGTGAGTGGTTAGGTGATTGAGTGGATGGGTGAGTGGTTGAGTGGTTGGGTGGGTGAGTGGCTGGGTCAGTGGTTGTGTGATGGAGTGGTTGAGTGAGTGGTTGGGTGGGTGAGTGGGTCACGTTGGTACGTGACATTACCGAAAGAACCACAGAGTAAAGGTTTCGGGGTTGCAATTGTTGTGGATTTACTTCTCCAACACACCGGTGGGCCGAAGTAGTAACTGATTGATGTTTTGCTTACGCGACAGGCTTAGTAATTGGCTGTGTCGGGCGGTGGAGGGGTTACGACACATTTTTACTCGCGATCTAACCCGTACGCGGAATGCGCGCCGTTATAACGTGGAATGCGCACCGCTATCACGCGAAATATGCACTTATAACGGTATGATGCAGTAAGCGGAATGATACAGTAACACGGAATGATAAGTAACGTGGAGTGATACAGTAACACCCACTCACAAACCACCCACTCGCCCACCTACTCATTCACCCAACCACTCACTCAACCACTCACCCACCCACTCATTCACCCAACCACTCACTCAACCACTCAATCACACAAACACTGGCCCAGCCACTCACCCACCCAACCACTCACTCAACCACTCACCCATCCACTCACCCAACCACTCATTCATCCATCCACTCAACCACTCACCCACCCACTCATTCATCCAACCACTCACTCGACCACTCACCCAACCACTCATTCACCCAACCACTCACTCAACCACTCAATCACCAAACCACTGACCCACCCACGCACCCACCCAACCACTCAACCACTCACCCACCCACTCACCCAACCACTCGTTCACCCAAACACTCACTCATCCACTCACCCAGCCACTCACTCAACCACTCACCCACCCACTCAATCACCTAACCACTCACTCAACCACTCAATCACCCAACCACTGATCCAGCTACTCACCCACCCAACCACTCACTCAACCACTCAATCACACAACCACTGACCCAGCCACTCACCCAACCAACCACTCAATCAACCACTCACCCATCCACTCACCCAACCACTCATTCATCCATCCACTCAACTACTCACCCACCCACTCATTCACCCAACCACTCACTCAACCACTCACCCACCCACTCATTCACCAAACCACTGACCCAGCCACTCACCCACCCAACCACTCAACCACTCACCCACCCACTCACCCACCCACTCGTTCACCCAAACACTCGTTCACCCAAACACTCACTCATCCACTCACCCAACCACTCACCCGGCCACTCACCCACCTAACCACTCACTCAACCACTCAATCACACAACCACTGACCCAGCCACTCACCTACCCGACCACTCACTCAACCACTCACCCATTCACTCACCCAACCACTCATTCATCCATCCACTCAACCACTCACCCACCCACTCATTCACCCAACCACTCACTCAACCAGTCACCCACCCACTCATTCACCCAACCACTCACTCGACCACTCACCCAACCACTCATTCACCCAACCACTCACTCAACCACTCAATCACCAAATCACTGACCCAGCCATTCACCCACCCAACCACTCAACCGCTCACCCACCCACTCACCCAACCACTCGTTCACCAAAACACTCACTCATCCACTCACCCAATCACTCACTCAACCACTCACCCACCCAACCACTGACCCAGCCACTCACCCACCCAACCACTCACTCGACCATTCACCCAACCACTCATTCACCCAACCACTCACTCAACCACTGACCCAGCCACTCACCCACCCAACCACTCACTCAACTATTCACCCACCCACTCACCCAACCATTCATTCACCCAACCACTCACTCATCCACTCACCCACCCACTCACCAAACCACTCATTCACCCAACCACTCATCCACTCACCCAACCACTCACTCAACCACTCACCCGCCCACTCACTCAACCACTAAATCACACAACCACTGACCCAGCCACTCATTCACCCAACCACTCACTTAACCACTCATCCATCCACTCACCCAACCACTCATTCACCAAACCACTCACCCATCCACTCACCCAACCACTCATTCACCAAACCACTCACTCATCCACTCACCCAACCACTCACCCAACCACTCACCCAACCACCCACTCACCCAATCACTCACCCAACTACCCACTCACCCAACCAACTACTCATCCAACCACTCACCCACTCACCCAACCACTCACCCAACCACCCGCTCACCCAACCACTCACCCAACCACCCACTCACCCAACCACCCACTCACCCAACTACCCACTCACCCAACTACCCACTCACCCAACCACTCACCCAACCAACCACTCATCCAACCACTCACCCACTCACCCAACCACCCACTCACCCAACCACTCATCCAACCACCCACTCACCAAACCACTCACCCACTCATCCAACCACTCACCAAACCACCCACTTATCAAACCACTCACCCTACCAATCACTCACTCAACCACCCACTCACCCTACCAATCACTCACCCAACCACCCACTCACCCAATCGCTCTCCCCCGTGCCCATCCGTGACGTCACACCCCATCCCCAGTCGCCGCCACAGTGACATGACGTCACTTGGGCGCCGCCGGAGTGTGTGGACGTCACGCACAAGCTGGCTGGAGCGACGTCACCGGCGAGACGAGAACCGTGTCCTGGACGACCTGCCCCCTAGGTCGACTCGGCCTCAAATGTGTGACGTGGTGCATCCTTGGTGTGTTTCGTAGTCGTTAAACATCGCCACTAGGGGGGGGGGGAGATACAAAGGCGGCCGGGACGCACCACACCACGCCCCCCCCCTCTGTGCCGCGTGCCACAGTGCCGGGGGCACTTGCCCCGACATTCTGGTGAGGCTATACCGCGTGGCGTGTGGGTGGGACACCTTTGTCTTTGTGCGAGTTGGGGAGCGGTGGCGCAGTGGTTAGCGCAACGCTGCCGCCCTACGGACACTTCGGCCTGCTAGAGGCTACACGGGGGACCTTTGTGTATAGCTGCTGCTACTGCTACTCGCTACTACTAACAGCACTTGCCCCTACAGCCTGCTAGAGGCTACACGGGGGACCTTTGTGTATAGGTGCTGCTACTCGCTACTACTAACAGCACTTGCCCCTACACTCCTACAGCCTGCTAGAGGCTACACGGGGGACCTTTGTGTATAGCTGCTGCTACTCGCTACTACTAACAGCACTTGCCCCTACAGCCTGCTAGAGGCTACACGGGGGACCTTTGTGTATAACTGCTGCTACTCGCTACTACTAACAGCACTTGCCCCTGCAGCCTGCTAGAGGCTACACAGGTGACCTTTGTGTATAGCTGCTGCTATTCGCTACTACTAACAGCACTTGCCCCTACAGCCTGCTAGAGGCTACACGGGGGACCTTTGTGTATAGCTGCTGCTGCTACTCGCTACTACTAACAGCACTTGCCCCTGCAGCCTGCTAGAGGCTACACGGGTGACTTTTGTCTGTGTAGGTGCTGCTGCTACTCACTACTACTAACAGCACTTGCCCCTGCAGCCTGCTAGAGGCTACACGGGTGACCTTTGTTTGTGTATAGGTGCTGCTACTCGCTACTACTAAAGCACCTGCCCCTACAGCCTGCTAGAGGCTACACGGGTGACCTTTGCCTGTGTGTAGGTGCTGCTACTACTCGCTACTAACAGCACTTGCCCCTACAGCCTGCTAGAGGCTACACGGGGGATCTTTGTCTGTGTGTAGGTGCTGCTACTCGCTACTACTAACAGCACTTGCCCCTACAGCCTGCTAGAGGCTACACGGGTGACCTTTGTGTATAGCTGCTACTCGCTACTACTAACAGCACTTGCCCCTGCAGCCTGCTAGAGGCTACACGGGGGACCTTTGTGTATAGGTGCTGCTGCTACTCGCTACTACTAACAGCACTTGCCCCTACAGCCTGCTAGAGGCTACACGGGTGACCTTTGCCTGTGTATAGTTGCTGCTACTCGCTACTACTAACAGCACTTGCCTCTACAGCCTGCTAGAGGCTACACGGGGGACCTTTGTGTATAGGTGCTGCTACTCGCTACTACTAACAGCACTTGCCCCTACAGCCTGCTAGAGGCTACACGGGTGACATTTGTCTGTGTATAGGTGCTGCTACTCACTACTACTAACAGCACTTGCCCCTACAGCCTGCTAGAGGCTACACGGGGGACCTTTGTGTATAGGTGCTGCTGCTACTCGCTACTACTAACAGCACTTGCCCCTACAGCTTGCTAGAGGCTACACGGGTGACCTTTGCCTGTGTATAGTTGCTGCTACTCGCTACTACTAACAGCACTTGCCCCTACAGCCTGCTAGAGGCTACACGGGGGACCTTTGTGTATAGGTGCTGCTACTCGCTACTACTAACAGCACTTGCCCCTACAGCCTGCTAGAGGCTACACGGGTGACATTTGTCTGTGTATAGGTGCTGCTACTCGCTACTACTAACAGCACTTGCCCCTACAGCCTGCTAGAGGCTACACGGGGGACCTTTGTGTATAGGTGCTGCTGCTACTCGCTACTACTAACAGCACTTGCCCCTGCAGCCTGCTAGAGGCTACACGGGTGACTTTTGTCTGTGTATAGGTGCTGCTGCTATTCGCTACTACTAACAGCACTTGCCCCTACAGCTTTCTAGAGGCTACACGGGTGACCTTTGTGTATAGCTGCTGCTACTCGCTACTACTGCTCGCTACTACACTACTATACACTACTATACACTACACTCTACACTACACTACTATACACTACACACATGCTACACTACTATACACTATACTGCTATACACTACACTATACACTACACACTACACTACTATACACTACACTATACGCTACTATACACTACATTACTATACACAACTATACACTACACTACTATACACTACACTCAACACTACACTACTATACACTACACTATAGAGTACACTGCTATATACTACACTACTGTACACTACACTACTGTACACTACACTTCTATACACTGCACTATTATACACTACGCCACTATACACTACATTACTATACACTACACACTACACTATACACTTTCCTACTATATACTACACTATACACTACATTATACACTACACTACTATACACTACACTATTCACTACACTATACACTACACTACTATACACTACATTATACAGTACACTATACACTACACTACTATACACTACATTGTACACAATACTACTATACACTACACTACTATACACTACATTATACAGTACACAATACACTACACTATACACTACACATATGGGCTCTATGGAAAGACGCTGCAAGCGTCTGCCCTCTCTGTGTCCCAGCACGCAACACGCATGCGTCAACATCATTCCCGTGAATTCCCTTCCTCCGCCTCGCTCTCTCTGTTGGCACCACCCCCCCCCGCCCCCGCCCAGCACCGAGAGACGCGAAGAATGAACGACGGCGAAGTGACGAGGATCCGCTGCCCGGTGTGCGACTGGGTGGTGGTCAGCCCGCCGGCGCTGGAGGACCACATGAAGCGCCACCGGGGCCGCACCGAGCCCCTGATGTACCAGTGCCCGCACTGCCCGTACCGGACGGACAAGCCGTTCACCCTGATGAGCCACCAGCGAACGCACGGCGGCGAGAGGCGCTACAAGTGCCGCGTGTGCGGGGACGAGTTCGCCGAGCCGGAGGACTTCCGCGCGCACCAGCGGGTCCACGTGGAGGAGAGGCCACACCGATGCCCCGTGTGCAAGAAGGCCTTCGCCCAGCCGGACGCTCTCCGGTCGCACCAGAGGGTGCACGCGGGCGAGAAGCCGTACAGGTGCGACGTATGCGGCATGGACTTCACCCGCGTCGACCACTTCCGCAGCCACCAGATAATCCACACGGACGAGAGGCCCTACCGGTGCACGGCGTGCGGGAAGAACTTCACGCGGTCGGACTACCTGCGCAGCCACCGCAGGACCCACACGGGCGAGAAGCCCTTCCGCTGCGCCACCTGCGGCAAGGCCTTCGCCCACCCGGGCACCCTCTCGACGCACACGAGGATCCACACGGGCGAGAAGCCGTACAGGTGCGACGTGTGCGGCAAGGCGTTCACGAACCCTGGGGGCTTTTACATCCACAAGCGGATCCACACGGGCGAGAGGCCGTACGCATGCGCCGTCTGCGGCAAGGCGTTCGTGTGCGCGGGGGCCCTGAACACCCACCGGATGGTGCACACGGGCGAGAAGCCCTACAAGTGCGACGCGTGCGACATGGCCTTCCAGCGGTCGGGGGCCCTGAGCACGCACCGGAGGACGCACACGGGCGAGAGGCCGTACGCGTGCGGCGCGTGCGGCAGGGCGTTCGCGGACCCCAGGGCCCTTCGCGCGCACGACAGGGTCCACACGGGCGAGAGGCCCTACGGGTGCACGGTGTGCAGGAGGACGTTCACGCAGCGACGGGCCCTCGCGGTCCACCGGAGGACGCACACGGGCGAGAGGCCGCACGCGTGCGGCGCGTGCGGCCGTTCGTTCGCGCAACGGAGATCCCTCGTCGTGCACCAGAAGGTCCACGGCGCGACGGCCGCGGGGAAGGGGCCCCGCGGCGAGGGCGGCGGGGAGGCGTCGGCGCCGTCGGGCGGCCCCCCCGCCGCCGGAGGCGCGGACGCGGACGGAGGGAGCGTGACGAGGAGGAAGAAACGCCGGGCGCGCCCGGCCGGCGCAGGGGCGACGGCCGCCCTGCCGGAGCCGCCTGGGGGCGAGCGCGCGACTTTCCCCGGGGGGGCGACGGCGAGCCCTGACGGCGAGAGTCCGGCGGCGAGCCCTCCTCCTGCGCCCGCCGCGTCGGAGGGAGGACGCCGGGAAAAGCCGGCCAGCTTCGTCGAGACGCGCCCGGAGGTAATGAAGGCGGAGAGCGGGGGCGGAGACGCTTCCGCGTCCTCGGCGACGGTGAAGGAGGAACGGGAAGGGGACGCCGGCGGCTTCGAGGCGTGGCCGGGGGTGAAGGTGGAGCCCGGTGGCGAGGCCGTTCCGTCCCGCCCCCCCTCCCAGCCGACCGTGAAGCGGGAACCCGAAGACGGCCACGGGAGCCGGACGGAGCCGGGGGTCAAGGTGGAACACGGAGGTCAGGACTCCTCCGTCTCCCTGTTGAGAGTGAAGCAGGAACCGGAGGAAATCCTCAGTTGAGACTCGGCCCGAAGGAATGGGGTGGAGTTAGAACGTGGAGATGAAGATTCCTCTCCCTGCCAGCCGATCGTTAAGCGGGAGCCCCAATGATGGCCCTAATAAGCAGCTACATTTGGAGGCTTGCCCCCACTTTTCTCTCCGCCTGATGAAGACCGCTTGTGTTGTTTTTTTGTTTTCCGTTTACGTGACTTTACCGAAAGAAGCAAGAATATGAACATCGCATTCATCCCCCTTCTATTTAAGAACAAAACGGGAGGGAGGATTTCTGCACAACTCTGTGGCTGTCCGAATGATGATGCTGAGCTGGAATTACCGGCGAAATGTCGCGGTTGCTCGAATTGTAAATGTTGTAGCTGATTTACTCTCCCAAAACACAAAACCGGTGGAGTGGTGTAACTTGTATACACTGCACTATACACGACACTATAATTGTAAATGTTGTAGTGGATGTATTCCTCAACACACAACCGGTGGAGTTCTGTAACTAGTATACTGCACGATACACGACACTATACTTGTAAATGTTGTAGCAGATGTAATCTTGAACACACTGGTGGAGTTCTGTTACTAGCATACTACACTATACACTACACTATGATTGTAAATGTTGTAGTGGATGTATTCTCCAACACACAACCGGTTTAGTGCTGTACTAGTATAGTACACTATACACTACACTATTTGTAAATGTTGTCGTGGGTTTACTCTCCCAACACACAACCGGCGTAGCGCTGTAACTGGTAAGGAATTGGCCACGTTTTGTCTACGTGACACAAACCCCCTTACTAATTGGTTGTGTCGGGGGGTGGTGGGTGGTTTAACTCTCCAACACACACACACCCACGCGCTGTTGTTTTTGCCCCCGATGTTCGAACATAGATATTCGTGCACGCGTTATTTATTAAACAATGGTAAAACACGAAGGCCCGCGGAGTGAGTCTGTCGCTTTGCCAGCGAGCGGTGGGTTATTGACACTGGTAGCAGCGGTGTCAAACACGCCAACCCTGCAAACCGCGCCAACCGTGCCAACCGCGCCAAACGCGCCAACGAATGATGTTATTGGGTCTGTCTCCTTAACACAGGGGTGGGGAACGTCCGGCCCGCGGGCCGTATGAGGCCCGCAAAATCATTTGGTCTCTGGCCCTGCCAAGGCAACCACAGGCGGGACTCGAAATTCGATAAATCTAGGAGCAAACCTGGAAAAGCAGTTGCGAGTAGCAGCAACATCGTCAATACCAGCTAACATCACCAATATCAGCTAACATCATCAATACCAGCTAACATCGTCAATACCAGCTAACATCATCAATACCAGCTAACATCACCAATACCAGCTAACATCACCAATACCAGCTAACATCATCAATACCAGCTAACATCGTCAATACCAGCTAACATCCTCAATACCAGCTAACATCATCAATACCAGCTAACATCATCAATACCAGCTAGCATCACCAATACCAGCTAACATCATCAATACCAGCTAGCATCACCAATACCTGCTAACATCGTCAGCTAGCATCGTCAACACCAGCTAACATCACCAATACAGATCACCAATACCAACTAACATTACCAATACCAGCTAATATCAATACCAGGTAACATCGTCAATACCAGCTAACATCATCAATACCAGCTAACATCACCAATACCAGCTAACATCAATACCAGCTAACATCACCAATACCAGCTAACATCGTCAATACCAGCTAACATCACCAATACCAGCTAACATCAATACCAGCTAACATCAGCAATACCAGCTAACATCACCAATACCAGCTAACATCATCAATACCAGCTAACATCAATACCAGCTAACATCACCAATACCAGCTAAGATCACCAATACCAGCTAACATCACCAATACCAGCTCAGATCACCAATACCAGCTAACATCATCAATACCAGCTAACATCATCAATACCAGCTAGCATCACCAATACCAGCTAACATCATCAATACCAGCTGACATCAATACCAGCTAACATCACAAATACCAGCTAACATCACCAATACCAGCTAACATCACCAATACCTGCTAACATCATCAATACCAGCTAACATTAATACCAGCTAACATCATCAATACCAGCTAACATCGCCAATACCAGCTAAGATCACCAATACCAGCTAACATCATCAATACCAGCTAACATCATCAACACCAGCTAACATCATTAACACCAGCTAACATCATCAATGCTCCTCCCACCGAGCTTAAAAAGACGCTGCGAATCTTAGCAGCGGTCATTGAAGTGCTGTCGTCCCGACAGTTCTGTTCCTTCACCTGAAGAAGGCCACTTGTGTTGTGGCCGAAACGTCGTAATTTTTGTTTTATTTTTTATCAACGTGACTTTACCGAATAGAACCAAAGAGTAAAGTCCCGACTGCCTTTTGTGTCTCTCCTCGAGAGAAACATGTTGACTACCTCACCCGGTACGCAGGAGGTCGTGGGTTCGAACCCGGACCCTGACGATGCCTGCTGCTACTGCATATTTAGAGTCTGCGTCTCTCTCTCTCGCATTATCATCACGGTAGCTAGGAGATGTTAACCACCTCGCCTGGTGTGCAGGAGGTCGTGGGTTCTATCCCAGACCCTGACGCCTGCTGTACATTTGGAGTCTGCGTCCCTTTCTCATCATCATCATCACGGTGGCTAGGAGATGTTGACTACCTCGCCTGGTGTGCAGGAGGTCTTGGGTTCGAACCCGACCCTGATATCTTCTGCTGCTGCTGTAGATTTGGAGTCTGCGTCTCTCTCCGTGGTGGTCACTGCGTCAATTTGTCTCCGGATTTTCTCCTCCACATTCAGAATCAAAATCACCACGCGTTTAGAGTCTTTGGCTGCTGCTATAAATGTCCACGTGATGGTGATGATGATGGTGGTGGTAGTGGTGATGATGATGATGGTGGTGGTGATGATGGTGATGATGATGGTGGTGATGATGGTGGTGGTGATGATGATGATGGTGCTGATGATGATGGTGATGATGACGGTGATGATGATGGTGGTTATGATGGTGATGATGGTGGTGATGATGATGGTGATGATGGTGGTGATGATGATGGTGGTGATGGTGATGATGGTGGTGGTGATGATGGTGGTGGTGATGATGATGATGGTGGTGGTGCTGATGATGATGGTGATGATGACGGTGATGATGATGGTGGTTATGATGGTGATGATGGTTGTGGTGATGATGATGGTGATGATGATGGTGGTGGTGATGGTGATGATGGTGGTGGTGATGATGGTGATGATGATGGTGGTGGTGGTGATGGTGGTGGTGATGGTGGTGATGATGATGATGGTGGTGATGATGGTGGTGGTGATGATGGTGATGATGATGGTGATGGTGGTGGTGATGATGATGATGGTGGTGATGATGGTGATGATGGTGGTGATGATGGTGGTGATGGTGGTGATGATGGTGGTGGTGGTGGTGATGATGGTGGTGATGGTGGTGGTGATGATGGTGGTGATGATGGTGGTGATGATGGTGATGATGGTGGTGATGGTGGTGATGATGGTGGTGGTGATGATGGTGGTGATGGTGGTGGTGATGATGGTGGTGATGATGGTGGTGGTGATGATGATGGTGATGATGGTGGTGGTAGTGATGATGATGGTGATGATGGTGGTGATGATGGCGATGATGGTGGTGATGATGGTGATGATGGTGGTGGTGGTGATGATGGTGGTGATGATGAAGATGATGGTGATGATGATGGTGATGATGATGGTGGTGATGATGATGGTGATGATGATGATGGTGGTGATGATGATGGTGGTGATGATGATGGTGGTGATGGTGGTGATGGTGATGATGGTGGTGATGATGATGGTGGTGGTGATGATGGTGATGATGGTGGTGGTGATGATGGTGATGATGGTGATGATGGTGGTGATGATGATGGTGATGCTGGTGATGATGGTGGTGATGATGATGATGGTGATGATGGTGGCGATGGTGATGATGATGGTGATGATGGTGGTGGTGGTGGTGATGATGATGGTGGTGGTGATGATGGTGATGATGGTGGTGATGATGGTGATGATGGTGATGATGTTGGTGATGATGGTGGTGATGGTGATGATGGTGGTGATGATGATGGTGGTGATGGTGATGATGGTGATGATGGTGGTGATGATGATGATGGTGGTGATGATGATGGTGGTGATGATGGTGGTGATGGTGATGATGGTGATGATTATGGTGGTGGTGGTGATGATAGTGATGATGATGGTGGTGATGATGGTGATGATGGTGGTGATGATGGTGGTGATGATGGTGATGATGGTGGTGATGGTGATGATGGTGGTGATGATGATGGTGGTGATGGTGATGATGGTGGTGATGGTGATGATGGTGGTGATGATGATGGTGATGATGATGGTGATGATATCAGCCACTCGGTTTGCGCTGCTAATATTTGTAATGGCCCAGGGTCGCTTCTGAACAAGGCCGTAATAATAATAAATATTGGGGGGACACCCCCCCCACCCACCCAATATTAAAATATGCTCAAAATGTCCCCCCAAATATATTGCTATTAAAACGAATTGCTATGCTATGTAAATAAAAACAACAATATGCTAAACCTTGCCCACACTATATGGGACTTGTCTTCATATAAATCAATGCGTAGATTTCTGTTTGTCCGATTGTGGTCATGGTTGTACTTTATTAATCCCTAATCTCTGCCATTACATATACAATGAAACAAGTGAAGGTAAAAAAAATATTTTTTTTAAAACAGAGCAATTTTGTAATACAATACCACTATTAGACATTATTGTAAAAAATAAATATAAAGTCCATCCCACGTGTTAGTGAATTTGGTTTCCCCCAATGTTAACTCCATGGCTACGGTCTTACTTCTGAACAAGAGCTCCTATACGACAGCTCAGTGGGGGCCTTACACCTGGTAACAATACAAAATAATAGTTTAATTAAAAAAATGTATTACAGCCATCGGTGGACATTCCACGTTCCTATGGCGGGTTGTAACACTTTTCCAACAATGGATTTAAAATGGATTATTGTCATGATGACGTAGCGGTTGTTGTGGACGTGACGTCACGTAACCATTTTGTCAGTTAAAGGGCATCGGTGCGACTCGTCGCAACGTCACTCGCTCGCGGACGCGAGGCGCGGCGTCATAACGCTGTCTGCGTACGCGAGACATGACGTCAAACACCTCCTTGCCGTCGGTCGGCATGCGTGACGTCACATTGCCGTCGGCGTACACGAGCCGTGACGTCAGAACGCTCGCCGTAGCGAGCCGTGACCACAGAATGCTCGTCGTAGCGAGCAGTGACGTCACCGGCGTGCGCCGTTTCGCTGTGGCGCGAGGCGGGAGAGCGGTGGCGCAGCTGTTGCGGCACCGACCGAAGTCGCCTCGAGAGCTCCCCGGGACCCGGTTCGACTCCCCCCGCCCGCCTGCGTGCCCGTACGGGGCCTGCGGCTCACGGCCACCGTCACCGCCACGAGCCACCTCCTCCACCACCACCTCCTCCACTACCACCACCACTACCACCACCTCCTCCACAACCACCACCTCCTCCACCACCTCCTCCACTACCACCACCACCACCTCCTCCACTACCACCTCCTCCACTACCACCACCACCTCCTCCACCACCTCCTCCACTACCACCTCCACCACTACCACCTCCTCCACCACCACTACCTCCACTACCACCTCCTCCACCACCACTACCACCACCTCTCCACTACCACCACCTCCTCCACTACCACCTCCACCACCTCCTCCACCACCTCCTCCACTACCACCACTAACCACCACCTCCTCCACTACCTCCTCCACCACCACCTCCTCCACGACAACCACCACCTCCTCCACTACCACCACCACCACCTCCTCCACGACCACCACCACCTCCTCCACTACCACCACTAACCACCACCTCCTCCACTACCTCCTCCACCACCACCTCCACTACTACCACCACCTCCACGACCACCACCACCTCCTCCACTACCTCCTCCACCACCACCTCCTGTGTGTGGTCTGTGGTCTGTGTGTGTGTGCTGTGTGGTGTGTGTGTGCTGTGTGTGTGTGGTCTGTGTGTGTGGTCTGTGTGTGTGTGTGGTGTGTGTGTGCTGTGTGTGCTGTGTGGTGTGTGTGTGGTCTGTGTGTGTGCTGTGTGTGTGTGGTCTGTGTGTGTGTGGTCTGTGTGTGTGTGCTGTGTGTGTGGTCTGTGTGCTGTGTGTGTGTGCTGTGTATGTGTGTGCTGTGTGTGTGTGCTGTGTATGTGTGGTCTGTGTGTGTGTGCTGTGTGTGTGTGGTCTGTGTGTGTGTGTGTGTGCTGTGTGTGTGCTGTGTGTGTGTGGTGTGTGTGTGCTGTGTGTGTGGTGTGTGTGTGCTGTGTGTGTGTGGTGTGTGTGTGCTGTGTGTGTGGTCTGTGTGTGTGTGCTGTGTGTGTGTGTCTGTGTGTGTGTGGTCTGTGTGTGCATGTCTCTGTGTGTCTGTGCGTGTCTCTGTGTCTGTGCGCGTGTGGTCTGTGTGTCTGTGTGTGTGCCTCTGTGTGTGTGTCTCTGTGCCTGTCTGTCTGCGCATGTCTCTGTGGTGTCTGTGTGTGTGGGGAGCGGTAGTGTAGCGGTTAGTGTGCTACGAGCGAGTTTGTCAATATACAGTGGTACCTCGGTATACGTCGTTAATTCGTTCCAGAAGGGGAAGGACTTATACCGGAAATGACGAATACAAAACGAATTTTTCCCATAAGAAGTAAAGGGAAAGTAAATCATCAGTTCCAGAGTATAAGAAATTATATTTTACATGGCATATTATACATTAATGGAATTGTATAACATAATGTAGACACTACGTATTACTCAAATGCATACGTAAATTAAAATGACGTGAAAATTCACAGAGAGTTACAGCAAGAGGGTTTCATATTCTTGGTTCTTTCGGTAAAGTCACCACGTAGAAGGGAAACAATAAAATAATAAAGATATAAAACAATAAAATTATCACGACGTTTCGACTGCAACACAAGCAATCATCATCAGGCGTGAAAACCACAGCAAGAACATTTTCTTGTTTCCCTTCTACGTGGTAGTGACTTTACCGAAAGAACCAAGAATATGAATCCCTGCAGTCACGAAAGCTTTAAATCAGCAAGGGGGTTGTTCACTGAACGAGATCTACAGGTAGACTGAGGAACGGCGCTTTGTTTGAGTCGTGAACGGGGGTCTAGGCGGGCACGCGGTGACTCATCCCGACCCATACAAGTTCTAGCAAGCGCGGCGTATCCCAAGCAAGACGTCGTATCCCAAGACATTTTTTTTCTCGGCAAAACACGACGCGTACCCCAAATTCAACGTATTCCAAAGCGGTCGTATACCCGAGGTACGACTGTGGTTGATGATGTAAAAGTGCAACGTAGCTCCAAGTGGCTTCCTAATATCGGAAGGTAGAGCGTTCCAGACGGCCGCAGAAGCAGCAGCGCAGTGTGAAAGCGCCGCGCGATGATGCGGCGACCGCCGTCATTGTTCGTCGGCCGGCCAAAAGTTGCCGCCGCCGCCGACGCTGCTGCTGTGACGGTGGCCGGAGCTCGCGTGATGATGGTTCACGCTCCCTGACGAGATCAGCAGTGAGGTGTTGTGATACAATTTCCGGCGAGCACTCTGTGCGTGTAATGAGCGCGGCCTTATTAACGCATTCGTCATTAAGGCTGCTTTGGGGAATTGGCGACCGGAAGCTATTGGTGAGCCAAAAGCCGCCGCTGCGAGGATGAATGGATGCCCTTCTCGTGTCTGTGTTTTCTAGGTTCGTGCTGAACTGCGGTACTTTACACAACGGATTGAAGGGGAGGGAGGAGGATTCACTTTCGTCTCGTGCTCCACCCCCCTCCCCCCCGGCTCCATGTCCCCAGGCGCCAAGGGGCAGCCAAAATGAACGAAGACGAAGAGGAGGAAGACACGAAGATCTTCTGCCCGGTCTGCAACTGGGTGGTGGTCAGCCTGCCCGCGCTGGAGGACCACATGAAGCGCCACAAGGGCTGGACGGAGCCCGCGCTGTTCCGGTGCCCCCACTGCACGTACAGCACGGACAAGGCGGTCGCCCTCATCAACCACCAGAGGACGCACACGGGCGAGAAACCCTACGAGTGCAAGGTGTGCGGCGAGGCGTTCTCCGTGTTGGAGGACTTCCGCGTCCACCAGAGGGCGCACGCGGACGAGAAGCGCCACGTGTGCGCCGTGTGCGGCGACGCCTTCTCCTACGCGGAGGCGCTCGGCACGCACCAGCGGGTGCACGTCAGCGAGAAGCCTTACCAGTGCAGCGTGTGCGGCGCGGAGTTCACGCGCACCAACCACCTCCGCAGCCACAACCGGGTGCACACGAAGGAGAGGCCGTACCGGTGCTCGGCGTGCGGCAAGTCGTTCGCCCGCTCCGACAACCTCGTCACCCACCAGCGGGTGCACACGGGCGAGAGGCCCTACCGGTGCGGCGTTTGCGGCAAGGCGTTCACGCAGTCCGGCACGCTCGTCGTGCACGCCCGGATCCACGCGGGCGACGGCAGGCCGCGGAGGGGGGGCCTCGAGGGGGGCGGAGGCGCGAAGGTGAAGGCGGCGAAGGCGGAGGCAACCGCGTCCGTGGCGGATGGAGGAGGCCCCGACTCGGGGCCGAATGCGGAGCGCGACGGCCGGCCCACCGTGAAGGGGGAAGCTGAGGAGGAAGAGGATGAGGAGGAGGAGGAGGAAGAGGAGGAGGAGGAAGAGGAGGATGAGGAAGTCGTCAAAGCAGACGTTCCTGCACCAGTCCCGGCGCCAGTTCCGGCGCCTTCCGTCGCTCCGTCCGTCGTGAAGCAGGAAACCGAAGAGAGCCCTCGGCTGTGAGACACGGCCAGTAGTCAAGGCAGAATCGGAAGGCGCAAGGCCTTCCCATAGCCCCAATCCATCGTGAAGTGGGAACCCCAAAGAGAGCCCTCAGCTGAGACGAGGGCCGCTTCGAAGGTACAGCCATTCAACTACAAAACTCTGTTCATTGTTACCGGGCGTGAGACCTACGTAGCTCCTCTTCGGAAGGGACCCTGGCTATTGCGAATGACAGCAGCTCAACGAAGTGGACGATGTCATCGTCGTCGCGTGGAAATGTACAGTGGGGGCCGAAGACGTCGATTCTCAATGTGAAAAGGCAAAAAGTCTGGCGGACCTGGAGAAAAATCCACGGCCACCACGGGGAGAGAGAGACGCAGACTCCAAATATACAACAGGCGGCAGGGTTTGGGATCGAACCCACGGCCTCCTGTACATCCCGCCACTCTGAGATGTATCATCAGCCGCCTACCACCCCCCCGCCCCCATCACCATGCGTGGATTTTTCTCAGGTTTTTTTCCCCTCCACATTTAGAATCAACATCACTACGCGTGTACAGTATTTGGCTGCTGCTATACATTTTCACGTGCTGATATCAGCCACTTCGTTGAGCTGCTATCATTTGTGATGGCCAGGTCGCTGTGACAAAAACAGCTACATATCTCAGTGGTTGGCCTTACCTGATAAAATGTAAACAGTTTAGTCTTAGATATTTCCTGACCTATTGCTACCATTGCTTATATTTCGGAAAAGACTTAAGAACGGGCAATTAAGTAGAAATAAATAACGGCTATGCTTTTCTTTAAAAAAAAAGTACAAACAACAAACCCTCAACACCGCATCAATGGCTCTCATTCCGCCCATGACACGTTCATGGGAGGCCCGTGAGGTCGTCATCAATGTCAGATGATGTGCCCTGTAGCAGCATTGGGGGGGGGGGGGCGGGGGGGGGACCTTCGTTGATGTGGAAGGCGTCTTAGCCAATCAAAGAAAGGGGAATAAGGGGGCGTGCCTCTCGACCACGACCTGACTGTCTCGATCCGCGCCCCGCTCTTGCCATTAAACAGAAAGTGGGTCCAATTAGCGATCCCCAACCACCGAAAGCATGCCCGCTTTGCCACCATGACACCACGTGTGGGCAACGACACGCCCACTTCTAAGTGTCCGCTTTTATTTCATGTCGGCTTTTTGTCGTATTACAGCGCCGGGAAGAACGGCGCCTTAGCCAATCAAAGGAGGGGAAATGAGGGGGCGTGCCACTCGACCACGACAAGACCATCTCGATCCACGCCCCGCTCTTGCTGTTGAACAGAAATAGGGTATTTATTTAGTGTAAATACTTACTTGATTTTAAACAGGTGTTAAAGTACTTGCTTTTTCACTTTCTCTGATGTCCGTTTATAGACTCAAAAGTGTGTCCAATTAGCAATCCCCATGTACCTAAAGGAGCACGGCCCCCTTTGCCGCCATGACACCACGTGTGGGAAAAGACGTGCCCACTTCCCAGTGTCCGCTTTTCATGTCGGCTTTTCATGTCGTATTACAGCGCCGTGGGTGTGGAGAATGCGGTCAACGCGCACGAAGAGGGGGGTGGAAGGACCCGATCGCGTGGGGGGGGGGGGTTCAAACGTTATGCTTCTCGGAGACGAGACGGCATGTTGATGAAGTTCAATGTAAGGAATTCTGCGAGGGCAGAGACGGCTGTCGCCGCTTCGTCGTCGCGCGGCGCTTTCGGATGCGCTGCTCCTGCGGCCATCTCGAATGCTTCTTCCGATATTAGGAAGCCACTGGGAGCTTCGCACTTTTAAACCATCATCTAGGTTGTGACAAAAACGCATTTCTCTAGGACTGCTTTTTGTGTGGTGTTAGTTTGTCATCCTTCCCACGCATCTCCAATTAGCGCGGTTGGCTAAGGTCCGGTAGTTGCGAAATACGTTCAACGTATATTCATACGTACAAAACAGGTCACTGCATGGAACCAGGATGAGACCGTGAAAGAGCTATGATTGTGAATCGAAATTATCGTGCAATTTCAATATACATCAAGTAATCTTGTGCTTAAAGAGCAAGATTTACGCTTGTATCGGGCGTTACTTTTTTCAGAATCTTGGGGACAAAACGTTGTTGATTGGGAGAGGCGGAAATTTTCCATGCATGTCGTCGGCAAGAGAAGCATTTTTGGTTGTACGCACGTTTTCCTCTGACCTACCGTGTGGGAGATACAGAGCGTGACGGACAGAGACTTGCACGTTGCACGGTGTTTCTCTCGTTATTCGCGAGGGGATGCGCCCCGGCGATGCTCGTGAATGGAAAATTTAGCGGATAATGATATTGGCTCTACGCAAAACTTCATTTTAATGGATTACCTTAAATAGGTAGGTAAGCTTTATCTCTCATCACTTCTCTATCTAATCACTTAATCACTTTCATAACTTTATCTCATCATCTTTCTTGGTTCTTTCGGTAAAGTCACGTAGAAGGGAAATAATAAAATAATAAAAATTAAACGTAATAAGATAAAATTCTCGCGACGTTTCGGCCACAACACAAGTAGCCTTCCTCAGGTGAAGGAACAGAACTGTCGGAAAGACAGCGCTCCAATGTTGTCTTTCCGACAGTTCTGTTTCTTCACCTGAGGAAGGCTACTTGTGTTGTGGTCGAAACGTCGTGAGAATTTTATTTTATTATGTTTTATTTTATTATTTCCCTTCTACGTGGCTTTACCGAAAGAACCAAGAAGATGAATCCCTGCAGTCACGAAAGCTTTAAATCTAAATTTATCTCATCACTTTCTCGATGCAGCAGTCGTGTAGCGTTACAGATGCCATTCACGGGTCGCCAAAGTCGTGGATAGCAAGTTGTCGAACGACGAGGGAATCCTGTAATCGGCGGAAGTGATAAACAGGTGAGTCGGTAGCTTGCGGTTAAAGAGAGACATTTCTGTAAAATAATCCTGATTAATATTACATTTTCTACATCGAGTTTTGTATATGCATGCTAACATTTCAATGAGAATCCACTGATATACAGTGGAACACCCTCTTAACGACCACCCCTGTTAATGACAACGCTTTACAACGGGGCTCCATAGAAACCCAATTGTGTTCGCTTACCACCCATTCTCCTGTTAAAGTCAGGCTGTTGTAGGTACAGTAAATAATGCATTGCTTAATCGTGTTTCTTTTAATATTATGTTTATATTGTTAGTATCTTTACGTATGATTCTCCATTATTTAAATACCATGTACATTTTTGGGGTGAAAAGGGGCAACTTTCCATGCTGTCGGAATGAGTTAAGACTTTAACATGTATTTCCTACACTCGCTTAACGTCCAAATCACTTAACGGCCGGTTTTGTGGAACCAATTACCGTCGTTAAAGAGGGGTCCTACGGTAGAGCGGTAACGTGACATCACAAAATAGGTACTACTATTATGGAGCTGCTGTAGAGTGGCTGACATTTGCGAAGACGAAGAGAGGGAGGGGATTGGGCTGGCCACCCCACCCAAGTGGGTACCGCGAGCGGTGCTATCTGTTGTACTTTTATGTGTGGAGGGGAAGACGGGAGGAAGAACTTAAGTGAGAGGATTGAGGGAGCGGGAGGGGGACGGGCTGGTAAGGGCGGGGGGAGCAAGGTGGGGGAATGTTGTATATAATAGCCTGGTATGTGATCTTAACTGACAGGATAGAGCAGGGGTCGGGAACCTTTTTGACTAAGAGAGCCATGAAAGCAAAAAATTTGGAAATTTATTTCAGTGAGAGCCATATAATATATTTTAAAAGTGAATTCAACTAAATGTCAGTATAATAAGCCTCTGAATTTATTCTTTTAAATAATGTTGTTATAACACTCACCATTAATGCGACTTCTGGTGCTGCATGGATTTGCTGATGTCTTTGTAGTCGGGTTGGTACTTGGTGAGGTTAAGCTTCATGCAAGCGTTGAGGCTTTCATCCGTTAAACGTGATCGTAGGTTGGACTTGATGTTTTCAAGATGTGAGAATGACTGCTCACATGCATACGTAGATCCAAACATGGTCAATACAGCAATACTCACACGCTGCAGTGTGTGGTATGTGACAGGAAGCGCGTTCCAAGTTTTGAGAATCAGCTGGTCTTCGGGTTGGAGTTTTTTCATTTCTGTCCACATGTGCTTGCTCGCCAACTCCGCTTTCTGTCGTGTGATTCTTTCCAAATCTTCATTCAGTGACTTGAACTTATTCACCCACATGTCTGAGGCCTTCAGGTCAGCCACTTCTGCTTCAAAATCTCTGACGGAGACACCAGGGATGTAATTCAGGTCGGCTGTGTTCAGTGAACACTCGTTTGGATGGGTGATGAACTTAAAAAGACGAGTGTGCTCACGAAATTCTCCAAAGCGTGCTTTGAAGGACTGTAGGAGACTGGATGTGCAGCCAGCTAGCTGGTGGAGATCAAGGTTTTGAATGGGCTCACTTGCTGTGCATGCATCTTTAAATTGGCTCAGTTTTTCAAAATGTAGTAAACGACCTGTTTCAAGATCCGTGATGAAAAGCTCCAGCTTGTTTTCAAAAGCAAATACAGCTTGTTGAAGGGATAACACTGTATTTCCAATGCCTTGCATTTTCACGTTGAGCTGGTTCAGATGTTCAGTCAGATCTACGAGATAGTAAAACTTGAGGAGCCACTCGGTGTCGGCTAGCTCAGGATGCCTGACGCCTTTCATTTCAAGGAAAGTCCGGATTTCGTTCAGGCAAGCCGCAAAACGGCTAAGCACCTTCCCTCTTGACAACCAACGCACATTGCTGTGCAAAAGCAGACCAGGATAGTTATTTACAACTTCATCCAGCAGTGTTTTAAACTGGCGATCATTTAAGGCTCGGGCAACAATAAAGTTGATCACACGAATGACCAGCGACATCACTTCGCCAAACTGCCTGTCACACATCTGAGCACAAAGTGCCTCCTGGTGTATAATGCAATGGAAACTTAGGATGGGTCTATTTTCATGTTCACGGAGAAGCGCCACAAATCCTTTGTTTTTCCCCACCATACACGGAGCACCATCAGTACACACTGAGAGAAGCTTATCCATAGGTAGACTTTTTCTTGAGCAAACTCCATGAAAGACTTGAATAAATCCTCACCTCTTGTGGACCCTTTTAATGGCAGAACAGCAAGACTTTCTTCGCGCAGTGTGTCACCAACAGCATATCTTGCAATCACGCTGAACTGCGACAAATGGCTCACGTCTGTTGACTCATCCAAAGCCAGAGAAAAGAACGGCGCTGCATTTATGTCCTTCACTTGCGTTTCCTCCACTTTGTTTGCCATCACGATGGTACGATCATGAACAGTTCTTGCCGACAGAGGCATGTCTTGTATCCGTTTTGATGATCTTGTCTTTGTTCGGAAGATCATCAAAAGTTCATTGGCTACATCCAGCATGAACGTTTTAGCATACTCGCCATCTGTGAATGGTTTTCCGTTCCTCACTATTGCTAAAGAACCAGAAAAGCTAGCCGAATTATAGTCACCTTGCCGGGTCCATACGCGGAGTTGCTGCTGGCTAGCTTGCACCCTGCTCAGAAGCTCTTGGCACGCTTTCTTTCTGCTGTCTCCCGCAGGGTATTTTGATGCAAAGGTAGCGTGGCGCGTGTCGAAGTGCCGCTTTACATTCGACCGTTTCAACGATGTAATTTTGTCATTGCAAATTAGACACACCGCAGAACCCGCTCTCTCCACAAAGGCGAATTCTTCGGTCCATTCGTCCTGAAATGTACGATACTCGTCGTCTTTTTTTCTTTTCGCCATCTTCTTCGTCGAAGGGTTAGCTTTGAGCTAATGACCGAGCAGACGCAGTCTCAGACTGATTCAAAAGGGGGCGTTTACCTGTTTTACCCAGCAACGGCAAACGTAGGCCAGTATCATCCAATTAAAATAATGGACAATTGCTCCTGCAGCCCTGAACAGGACCTGCGCAGTGAAAAATCGATGGATGGATTAAAACAAGTGAGAATATTTTGTTTTATCTGCGAGCCATATGCAATCATCAAAAGAGCCACATCTGGCTCGCGAGCCATAGGTTCCCGACCCCTGGGATAGAGGAAGCGGGTAGAATGAGGTGGGGGGGGGGATGTATATAATAGCCTGGTATGTGACATTGCCAAATTTCAAAATTATAAAACTGATGGGCACGTATCATTAGCGAGGGGGTATGTCCAGTGTTTGATGGGGCTCGTGAAGGGGTGGGATGGGGGTGACGTGGTGAAACCCAACCCACAAACGCGCGTGCGTGTCGTTCCATAGTCATTTTATTGTTAACCACTCTAGAACGTGCCAGAATGTGTTTCCCTGCCTATGAAACTGTTGTCATTGTTAATTACCAATAAAGTTAGCCAAAAACTAAAAAAACAGCGATGCCTTGACATCATTTATTCTCACTGGATCTCAACTGGCTGCCCACTCGTATTTGAAAGCACAATTACTTTTCGTAAACGTGCGATGTCAAAACTCCTAGAAAACCAGCAAAGCCCATGACCAAGTTATTCGTCTTAACAGATATAGGTTACTGTGACTGACTAATCAACTGATTTAAATTCTAATATTCTAGAGGGGTGGGGGAACCTTTTTTCTGCCAAGGGCCATTTGGATATTTATAACATCATTTGCGGGCCATACAAAATTATCAACTTAAAAATTAGCCTGTTATATTTGGTCAAACATTTAATTAACTCACCCCTAATGTGATGGCTGGAACAGATCAAATGATTTTGCGGGCCTCATACGGCCTGCAGGTCAGACGTTCCCCTCCCCTGTTCTAGACAAAGCCTTTGCTTGTAACTATAATTTTTTTAAATTAACGTTTTAAAATATGCCCCCAGAACCCCCAAAACAAATCTGGAGATATTTCATAATGTTGATCATCGTGAGAAGAAGGACTCAGCTCACCACCGTGTTCAGCAATGGCCTCTTTATTTGATGACCCACAGGTAACATCTCCGGTCATACGGCAGGTAACACACCACGCTCCGTACGAAGAACTACCCCGCCCCCCTCCTCTTCCTCTCTTTTATCCCCTGGCGCTCGTTCCTTGCCAGTCATTGCCCACGAGCTTTTGTTCCAAACGATGACTCACTGACCAATCATCTCCGAGTCTCCTCCCTAATCTCTGCCCCCCAGGTTGATGATTAACTGGCCAGGCACCCGAGTGTCTGCGTTCCTTGCCCAATCACTCATAGCCCAGGGGCTTCTGTCCCAGAATAGGACTCACTGGCCAGCCGTCGCGAAGTTTCCAACAATAGTGTCGGTCGTTATACTTCTTAAGAAGGCGAATCCGTATCGAGTAGTCTTATCAATAACAACTCATTGGTGTAGCTTCAGTAGAAACCACACTATTTGAGAGGTACAATAACCGCCAAGAGCCAAGTCTACTTAACAGCTGCCACGCATCACGTCGCAATTCTTTACAGAGTTCCATGAGGTGTCACCTTTTATTTGTGTCATTACTTATGACTCCAGCGGTCCCACAGGTAGGCACAGGACTTATTTCTAATATCTTCCAACACTTCGTGATAGTTTCTCCATCCATTCTGTTCACTCGTGCAGACACGCTCGTGCTTTTGAATGCCCGATGTATCGCGCGGCATTTTCCCAACATTTTTCTCTCTCGGTCGGCTTCTCAAGTGTTTAAATTTCCGCTCCACGAGACCTGCCCCCTCTGTGTAGTACACATCCTCTACCCGCGCCACCAAATTAACAAAGGTCCCAGTCGAGGACTCGCTCTCACTCGACATGCTTCCTTGTAGTCCCCTCCTACACCTTCCCACAGAGACCTCAACATCCGTTCCCAAAGCAGAGACTCGGCCTCCCGTGTGCCACCTTCACACCAGCCGTGTCTCGCAGCCGGGGCTTCCTTCCCGTTCTCGCTTCACGATCGAGCGGGGAAAAGAAGCACTGTCACCTCCGCGTTCTACTTTCACCCCTGGCCACGTCTCGGAGCCGGGTCGTTCTTCACGCTCCTGCTTCACGATCGACGGCGAGATGGGAGGATCATCGCTACCTTCGCGTTCCACCTTCACCCTCGACCGTGCCTCAAAGCAGGCGCCTTCGTCACATTCCCGCTTTACAATTGACAGGGAGGTCGAAGGACCCTCGTGTCCACATTCCACCTTAACCCCCGGCCACGTCTCAAAATTGGGGTTTTCTTCGCGCCCCCGCTCCAATGCAGAGGGCTCCAACGCGGGACTCTCAACCTCAACGGTCACCTCCACCTCCCCGGAGGGAGGCGCGGTTTCATCCCCGGGGTCTTTTGACTCGGCGGATGCCCCCCTGCACGCAGCGCACTCGTGGCGCCTCCTGCTCCGGCACGTTCCCCTGGTAGCGCGGAGGCGAGCCGAAAATGTCAACGTGTCCCCGCACTTTGTGCACTTGCAGGGCTTCCCACCCGCGTGGATCTTCTGGTGGATGCGGAGGGCTCCCGAGTGCGTGAACGACTTCCCGCACGTGAGGCACCCGTAGGGCTTCTCCCCCGTGTGGATCCTCTTGTGGATGCCGAGGGTTCCCGACTCGGAGAACGCCTTCCCGCATGTGGGGCACGCGTAAGGCTTCTCCCCCGTGTGGATCCTCGTGTGTATGCACAGAGCTCCCGATTGGGCGAAGGCCTTTTTGCACACAGTGCACTTGTAGGGTTTCTCACCCGTGTGAATCCTCTCGTGTATGACGAGCCCTCCCGACTGTGTGAATTCCTTCCCGCACGTGGCGCACCTGTAGGGCTTCTTGCCCGTGTGGACCCTCTTGTGGGTGACGAGCGTGTCCGAGCGCTGCGAACGCCTTGCGCACACGGTGCACCTGTAGGGTTTCTCGCCCGTGTGGATCCTCTGGTGGCTGAGAAGGTGGTGCGACTGAGTGAAGTCCATTCCGCAGACGGTGCAGTGGTACGGCTTTTCGCCCGTGTGGATCCTCTCGTGTTCACGGAGGTCCTCCGACTGCGCGAACGCCTTTCCGCAGAAGGAGCACTTGTGCCGCTTTCGTTTGGCGTGAATCCTCTGGTGGGAGCAGAAGTCTCCCGAGTTGGCGAAAACTTCCCCGCACACCCTACACTTGTAGGGCTTCTCGTCGGCGTGGGTCCTCTGGTGGCCGATCAGCGTGGCCGCTTTGTCCGTGCTGTACGGGCAGTGGGGGCACTGGTACAGCACGGACTCGGTCCGGCCCCTGTGCCGCTTCATATGGTCCTCCAGGGCGGGCAGGCTGATCACCACCCAGTTGCAGATCGGGCAGTAGATCTTCATCTCTCCTCCCTCGTTCATTTTAATGTCTCGGGCGCTGGGATGCAGTGAGGCACGAGAAGGAAATTCATCCCCCTCCACCGAGCTGTGAACCTAGAAAAGGTGAAGATATTGTCCGTTGCTTACATTGAACTTCTTTCGCACCGTACGTAGACAACGGTGCTGACCGGCGGTACCTATTGCCGGATGGCATTCTCGCCTTATTTTAATGTATATGTAGCGCCTTGAGCAAGGTGCTCGACCAAGAATCGGATATTTTTACAGGCGAACAGGACAAAGACAACGCAAGTATCCAAGTATCCATAGCTCGGGTTGAGTAATTATATCTATCGCACAACAACCGCCATTCGCCACTAACTGATGGTGACATCACCACGACGCTTGTGCCAGGCTATGTGTACGTTAAGGCCACGTGAAGTGTCGAACGCCCGCTGGCAGGAGGCCACGGGACAGACCCAGATGCCATGGGTCGACTGACTGAGATGACTGGCTGATGCAGTCAACAACAACCGCCATTTGCCACTAAGTGGCGGTGACGTCACCACACATGGATAGACAGTCACAACAAGGGCACACAGACAGACACACACAGACAGACACACACAGACAGACAACAACCGCCATTCGCCACTAAGTGGCAGTGACGTCACCACGACGCTTGTGCCAGGCCATGTGCACCTTGAGGCCTCGTGAGGTGTTGAACGCCCGCTGGCAGGAGGTCACGGGGCAGACCCAAGTGCCACGGGTCGACTGACTAAGATGACTGAATGATGCATCACCTGTGCCCCCTACTGTGCCAACCTGCTGTGCTTTAGCCACCCGGCGCTCCGCTCGTTGTGAGCGTCGCTCCTCCGCCCTCCGTTGTTGTTGGAGGGCGACTGCCTCCAACTGCCCAGTAGCATCCTTCACGAGCCTCCTCCACAGAGGCTGATCTTGACACCACTGGTACCAGTCATCGGCAAGTCCACTCAGCTCCACGTCCTCCTGTACCACATCACTCCATCTCTTCTCTAGCCCGTGCCGCGCCCGCTTAGCCCCCTCAATCCGGCCGAACAAAAGCTGTTTCGGCATGCGGTGGCTGGGCATGCGGGCTACATGACCCAGCCATCGCAGCCTTGCCCGCCGGAGGAGCTCACCGATGGGACCTTGCCCAGATCTTTCAAGGATTTGTGAGCTCCTCACACAATCCAGTCTGGTTAAACCCAGGATGGATCGTAGGCAGGCCAGCCTAAATGTTTCTAACCGGCGAAGATGTTCCATTAGGGGGGTCCACGTTTCGCAAGTGTAGAGAAGGGAGGGAATGACCGTGGCCGAGAAGACCTAAAGCTTCGTGCGGAGCGACAGACCAGGTAGCTTCCACACAGCGTTACGCAACCGATGAAAAGATATTGCCGCTCGACTGATTCGGAGTGAGACCTCTGCTGTTAAACCGGAGCCAGTCATAAGCACACTGCCCAGGTATGGGAAACTCTCCACTCTCTCCACAACTGCCCCATCACCGATTGGGAGATGTGGGGGTGGAGTGTCCGATGGTACAAAATACCCAGGCAGGTGCTTAGTTTTGGTGGGGCTGATGGTAAGGCCCCACCTCTTAGTGGCACGCTCCAGTCTCAGCAGCAGCGTCTCCAACTTCTCCTTTGACTGAGCAGCTATTACCAAATCATCAGCATACATAACGTGGTTGAGCAATAGGGAGCCATCCCTTGACCGCAACCGGGCATCGATCAGCCTCCCATTATATCTGTACCATATGGAGATTCCCCTGGTACAGCTATTGAAGGCTTCACGAACAACGTGGTCAAAATAGATGTTAAATAATGTGGGAGCCAGACGACATCCCTGTCGCACCCCAAGGTGTACAGGGAGTGGCTCTGACTCCCGGCCACGTAGTTTTACCGGGGCCCGCTTACCATCATGAAGGTCCTTAATGATCGTGAGCAGAGGGTCAGGGACTCCAAAAGCACGAAGAACAACCCAGAGCCAAGGTCTACTGATGGTATCATAGGCCTTGACCAGGTCAATAAAGCAGAGATGTAGGTCTTGTTGGAATTCCCTACACCTCTGCTGTAGCAGACGGACAGAAAATATGGCATCTGTGCAGGACCGCCCTTTCCTGAAACCGCATTGGGGCTCCGCAAGCCTCTCCTCAGCGTGCCTGGCAAGGCAATGTTGAATAATACTTGCCAGGACCTTTCCCGGCACACTGAGGAGTGAGATGCCCCTGTAGTTGTTACAGTCTGTGCGGTCCCCCTTCTTAAAGAGGGGGACCACCAGGGCATCCTTCCAATCCTGCGGAACCCGTCCAGTGGTCCAGACTATTGTGATGATGTCATATAGGGCAGTCTGTGCACAAACGCCACCCTCCCTCAGCGGACACACAGACACACACAGACACACAGACAGACACACACAGACAAACACACAGACACACAGACAGACACACACACAGACACACACACAGACAGACACACAGAGACAGACACACACAGAAACACAGACAGACACACAGAAACACACAGACAGACACACAGACAGACAGACACACACACAGACACACACACAGACACACACAGACAGACACACAGAGACAGACACACACAGCCAGACACACACAGACACAGACAGACACACAGACAGATACACACAGACAGACACACACAGACAGACACACACAGACAGACACACACACAGAAACACACAGGCAGACACAGACAGACACACAGAGACAGACACACAGACAGACACACAGAGACAGACACACAGAAAGACACACAGAGACAGACACACAGAAAGACAGACACACACGGACACACACAGACACACACAGACACACACACAGACACACAGACAGACACACACAGACACACACAGACACACACAGACACACAGACACACAAAGACAGACACACACAGGCAGACACACACAGACAGACACACAGAGACAGACACACAGACAGATACACAGACAGAAACACACAGAAACACACACACAGACACAGACAGATACACAGAAACACACAGACACACACACAGATATACACACACAGACACACACAGACAGACTCACCTCTCTCGCGCTCTGCGTTTATCCGTGACGTCACACCCCTAGCGTCACCAGCAGCCGCCACGGCGGCCGACGTGACGTCACGTACCCCCCCTCCCCCCGCGTGTGGATCCTGTCGTGGATGACGTCACTCGCGCGCCCTCCGTTTTGCGGAGATGACGTCACGTGATGGGGGCGTGCGTGTGGGGGGGACGGAAGTGACGTCACATACGAGAGCTGACCAGAGGAGGGAGCGGGCAAGCGGTCCGTGAGTTCGGCCGCCCCCTAGGTAGACTCGGCCTCAAACGAGTTACCTCGTGCGGCGTTGCGTGTAGCGAGTGGGGTAAATCGTCGTCACTGGCAGAGAGACAAAGGCGGCCGGGGCCCTTCGTAAAAGCGCTTGCCCCGACATTCTGGTGAGGCTATACCCGGTTGTGGGGTGGGCACCTTCGTCTTTGTGTGAGTCCGGGGGGAGCGGTGGTGGTGGTGGTTGCGGTGGCGGTGTGTGGTGGTGTGGTGGTGGGGGTGGTGGTGGTGGTGTGGTGGTGGTGGGTGCTGTGGTGGTGGTGTGTGTGGTGGTGGTGGGTGGTGTGGTGGTGGTGGTGTGTGTGGTGGTGGTGTGTGTTGGTGGTGGCGGTGGTGGTGGTGTGTGGTGGGTGGTGTGGTGGTGGTGTGGTGGTGTGTGGTGGTGTGGTGGTGGTGTGTGGTGTGTGTGGTGGTGGTGGTGGGTGGTGTGGTGGTGGTGGTGTGGTGGTGGTGGTGTGTGTGGTGGTGGTGTGGTGTGGTAGAGGTCGCCACTGGGGGAGAGACAAAGGCGGCCGGGCGTTGGTGGTGCTGGCCACCCACCCCTCTGTCACAGTGGCGGGCTTCATAGGCGCTGCTGCAGCAGCACCTGTGTATAGGTGCTGCTGCTACTCACTAATACTAACAGCACTTGCCCCTGCAGCCTGCTAGAGGCTACACGGGTGACCTTTGTCTGTGTATAGGTGCTGCTGCTACTCACTAATACTAACAGCACTTGCCCCTACAGCTTGCTAGAGGCTACACGGGTGACTTTTGTCTGTGTAAAGGTGCTGCTGCTACTCGCTACTAATAACAGCACTTGCCCCTACAGCCTGCTAGAGGCTACACGGGTGACCTTTGTCTGTGTATAGGTGCTGCTGCTACTCGCTACTACTAACAGCACTTGCCCCAACAGCCTGCTAGAGGCTATACGGGGGAGCTTTGTCTTTGTACTAAACAGGCCTCCAGAGATGAAGTGAAATTTTATTTCATTTGTGGACGCTGAATTTGATTTGTTGTTAGCCCTGTAAAAAAAAGTACAGGGTGTTTTTAAAAGGATGGACACAATTTCAAAGCAGTTTATTTCACGACGGCAACGTGTTGCAAGTGCACAAAAAAAGTTACAAACGGTTTTAATGAGTTATCAAGTTTTACTTATCTACATGTATATAAAAGGCAAAGTTGTGATTAAGTGCGTCTGTTCAAAATATTTAGCGTACTTCCCGACATGCAACAAACTTGGAATTTGCCATGCAGGTACTTTCCAGACTGTACACCATGCAAAAATTATACAAATACACCTTTTTTTGGGGGGGGGGGGGGCTCAATAATGCTTTTTTTTGCATGGCAAGTGAGCTGTGACGTCAAATCTGTCACGTGACCCGCGCATGTGGAAGCGTAACGCATTGTAGTGTAGTGGTTAGCACGCTGTGTATGTGTCTGTATGTATGTGGAAGCGTAACGCATTGTAGTGTAGTGGTTCGCGCGATGTCTGTGTGTGTCTATGTGTGTGTGTGTCTATGTGCAAAACAACCCCCTACCTCCTCGCGGTGCCGGACAGGCAACTCTGTCGTGGACAGTGCTGTGGGGGGAGGTCCAATTTTGATTGGCTCCTCCCCTCATGGCAAATGTGTCCACCACAGGGGCTAACGGGGGCTCTGGACGGGTGCGAGGGGCTGGTAACCCCTCCACCTTCAATTAATTACCACTAAACCACGAGTTAAACTGAAATATGTAACTAATAAGCTTGTGCCGGAGGCCCCGGGGGACGAGGCGTCTATGACGTCTCCTGGCCAAACCCCAATTGGCGGAGCCAGGAGATTGAATATCTACCCTCGGGGCTCTTCCAGAAACAACGAAAAGCCACTACGGGTGGCCACGTGGAATGTTCGAACGCTCACTGCGGAGGAGAGGCTGCCACTCCTCTGTCGGGAGCTGGACCGGTACCGCCTGGATCTGTGTGGCATTCAGGAGGTCCGGTGGACCGGCTCTGGCTCCTGCCACCATGAGGGGTGGACAGTCCTCTACTCGGGGTAGCAGATTGCCAAACAACAGGGTGTGGCTCTTCTTTTGAACAAAAAAATGAAGGGGGCGTGGGAGCGTGGCGGTGAGGTGTGGGAAGCTCTAAGTCCCAGGCTACTTTGGGCTCGCCTTCCCATGAACCGGAGGCGAGGAATGGTGGTCGTGGTTACTTATGCCCCCACCGAAGATGAACATCCGTGGAGGGATGCAGGCAAAGCCGATGAGTCAGATGCCTTCTATGACCTCCTGTCACAGGTGCTGGCTAAAGTGGCCCCTCGGGATAGAGTCATCATGTTGGGTGACTTCAATGCCCGAGTTGGTCATGATACTGGCACCTGGTCTGGAGTGATTGGAGGGCATGGGCCAGATCAGCTCAATAACAACGGTAGGAGGCTGCTAGATTTTTGTGCAGCCCATGAGCTTGTAATTACCAACACGCTGTTTCGGCATCGGCGCATCCACACAACATCAAGGATGCATGCCGGGTCCAAGCAAGAACATCTGCTGGACTACATAGTGACGGACCAGCGGATGTGAGCCCATGTCCTTGACACCAGGACCTACCGTGGAGCTGATCTGCGCTCTGACCATCGACTAGTCATCTGTAAGATGCGCCTGCCATTCTTCCACTCCGGTGGTGGGTGTACACCCAGGACCCCATTCCAACCTAAAGTGGCCTGGTCTCAGTTATCTGATGAAAGTTGCAAGGGAGAATTTCATCATCGCTTGCGGCTGGGATTGCCATCGTCCCCAACTCCTGCTGATGTCGAGGGTAAATTGGCGAGGTTTAGGACTGTGACTCATGCAGCTGCAATGGCTGCTTTGGGTACTCGGTCCAGACCTCCCCAGAGACCCTGGCTGACAGAGGAGGTGTTCAGGATGGTTGAGAAAAAGCGACAGGCCCACTGTCATCGGCTACAGAATCCCACGTCAGAGAATGAGGAGGCTTACCGCAGCCTTCGCTCGGAGGTTCGGAGAGCCGTGAGGCGCTGCAAGGATGGGTGGTGGTCGGGGGTTGCTGGGAGATGGAGTCTGCCTCAGTGGCCCGTGATCACAAATCTCTAGTTTAACTCCATCAAAAAAGTAATCTGCAGTGCCACACCTATTACCATCATTAGGGGAAAAAACGGTGACCCAATCTCCGACCCCCAGGAACAGGTTTGCAGATTTGCTGAGCATTTCTGTGAGGTCGTGGGGGAGGGAAAATCCCTCAGCCAGGAAAACATCGTGGCACAAAGTGAGGATGACCCTGCTGAGGCTGCGGTGCCTCAAATATTGGAAGAAGTCACCCCCTGTGAGTGGCTTGCTGAGGTGCCATCTGTTGAGGAAGTACTAAAGGCGATCCGGAGTCTGAGACCAGGAAAGGCAGCGGGCAGAGGTGATCTCCCAAGCGAAATGCTGAGGGAGGGTGGCGTTTGTGCACAGACTGCCCTATATGACATCATAACAACAGTCTGGACCACTGGACGGGTTCCACAGGATTGGAAGGATGCCCTGGTGGTCCCCCCTTTTTAAGAAGGGGGACCGCACAGACTGTAACAACTACAGGGGCATCTCACTCCTCAGTGTGCCGGGAAAGGTCCTGGCAAGGATTATTCAACATCGCCTTGCCAGGCACGCTGAGGAGAGGCTTGCGGAGCCCCAATGCGGTTTCAGGAAAGGGCGGTCCTGCACAGATGCCATATTTTCTGTCCGTCTGCTACAGCAGGGGTGTAGGGAATTCCAACAAGACCTACATCTCTGCTTTATTGACCCGGTCAAGGCCTATGATACCATCAGTAGGCCTGGGCTCTGGGTTGTTCTTCGTGCTTTTGGAGTACCTGACCCTCTGCTCACGATCATTAAGGACCTTCATGATGGTGAGCGGGCCCGGGTAAAACTAGGTGGCCGGGAGTCAGAGCCATTCCCTGTTAACCTTGGGGTGCGACAGGGATGTCCTCTGGCTCCCACATTATTTAACATCTATTTTGACCACGTAGTTCGTGAAGCCTTCAATAGCTGTACCGGGGGAATCTCCATATGGTACAGATATAATGGGAGGCTGATTGACTCCCGGGTGCGGTCAAGGGATGGCTCCCTATTGCTCAACCACGTTATGTATGCTGATGATTTGGAATAGCTGCTCATTCAGAGGAGGAGTTGGAGACGCTGCTGCTGAGACTGGAGCGTGCCACTAAGAGGTGGGGCCTTACCATCAGCCTCACCAAAACTAAGCACCTGCCTGGGTATTTTGTACCATCGGACACTCCACCCCCACAACTCCCAATCGGTGATGGGGCAGTTGTGGAGAGAGTGGAGAGTTTCCCATACCTGGGCAGTGTGCTTATGACTGGCTCCAGTTTAACAGCAGAGGTCTCACTCCGAATCAGTCGAGCGGCAATATCTTTTCATCGGTTGCGTAACGCTGTGTGGAAGCTACCTGGTCTGTCGCTCCGCACTAAGCTTCAGGTCTTCTCGGCCACGGTCATTCCCTCCCTTCTCTACGCTTGCGAAACGTGGACCCCCCTAATGGAACATCTTCGCCGGTTAGAAACATTTAGGCTGGCCTGCCTATGATCCCTCCTGGGTTTAACCAGACTGGATTGTGTGAGGAGCTCACAAATCCTTGAAAAATCTGGGCAAGGTCCCATCGGTGAGCTCCTCCGGCGGGGAAGGCTGCGATGGCTGGGTCATGTAACCCGCATGCCCAGCCACCGCATGCCAAAACAGCTTTTGTTCGGCCGGATTGAGGGGGCTAAGCGGGCGCGGCACGGGCTAGAGAAGAGCTGGAGTGATGTGGTACAGGAGGACGTGGAGCTGAGTGGACTTGCCGATGACTGGTACTAGCGGTGTCAAGATCGGCCTCTGTGGAGGAGGCTCGTGAAGGATGCTATTGGGCAGTTGGAGGTAGTCGCCCTCCAACAACAACGGAGGGTGGAGGAGCGACGCTCAGAACAACGAGCGGAGCGCCGGGTGGCTAAAGCACAGCAGGTTGGCACAGTAGGGGGCACAGGTGGTGCATCAGCCAGTCATCTCAGTCAGTCGACCCGTGGCACCTGGGTCTGCCCCGTGACCTGCCAGCGGGCGTTCGACACTTCACGTGGCCTCAGGGTGCACATAGCCTGGCACAAGCGTCGTGGTGACGTTACCGCCACTTAGTGGCGAATGGCGGTTGTTGTTGTCTAGGTGTGTCTGTGTGTGTGTGGAAGCGTAACGCATTGTAGTGTAGTGGTTAGCGCGATGTCTGTGTGTGTCTATGTGTGTGTGTGTGTCTATGTGTGTGTGTCTAGGTGTGTGTGTCTAGGTGTGTCTGTGTGTGTGTGTGGAAGCGTAACGCATTGTAGTGTAGCGGTGTAGCGCTACTCTGCGCTACGAACCCGGCAACCCGAGTTCGATTCCCGCTCACGGCCACCACCGGTGACGATTATTTGAACTGGTCCTGGGCCTCCCCTAGGTAGACTCGGCCTCAAACGAGTAACTGTTGTGGTGTGAACATCGCCACTGGGGAGACAAAGGCGGCCGGGCGTGGCGAAGCCGGATAGTAAAGCTAGTCATTTTGTAAATTCTCTGTGTGCCCTCCACCTGCTGTACGGACAACATCGAGACAATCTTTCAATTTAAAGCTTTCGTGACTGCAAGGATTCATCTTCTTTGGTTCTTTCGGTAAAGTCACCACCACGTACAATGAGAATAAAATAAATGTGTTATTTTATTTTATCGATTTATTATTTTATTCTCATTCTACGTGACTGTACCGAAAGAACCAAAGAAGATCGAGACGATCGTTGAATTCGTCCCAAACGCCTCTCAAAGCGTCTTCCCTTCCGCTGAAGTCGCCGCTGCCGTGATTCAAATTTTATTTCACGCGCTTTTATTTAACTCGCTGTCTGTTGGTGTTGTTGTTGTATCCTCAAATCTTGTAACTCAATTTTAACCCACTTGCCGATGTGGTATCAACTGCAAACCTGGTATACTTATGTTATAATGATGACAATACTATATTCTATCATTAAAAATATAAAAAAAATGTAACATTTTTAATTTTTTATGTTTCGGCTTGGGTATAATTGTCCACGGTCAACTGACATTGTGGCGAGCTTCGGGCCACTTCCTGGAGTCGTGGAGTTCTGCATTACTAGTAGGGTACATTTCATTAAAGCGTGTTTAAAAAAAGTATTTTTTAAATATTACTTATTTGAGGTCATCCAGATTAGTCGCTAATGGTGGCACAAAAACACCACCGTCTTTGACGTATCCCCACAAGAAAAAGTCGCAGGGTGTGGCGATGTCTGGGGGGTGATCTTGGGGGCCAAGAGTGTAGCACCAAGTCTTGGGGTCCCGTGCGACCTGTCCAACGTTGAGGCGGTGTTGTCTGGCGAATGGCTGAGGCTAGGGGCTGTTTGTGCACTGGGGTCACCATCTAGAGAATGACTGAGGCTAGGGGCTGTTTGTGTGCTGGGGTCACCATATAGAGAATGACTGAGGCTAGGGGCTGTATGTGTTCACTGGGGTCACCATCTACAGAATGACTGAGGCTAGGGGCTGTTTGTTCACTGGGGTCACCATCTAGAGAATGACTGAGGCTAGGGGCTGTTTGTGTTCACTGGGGTCACCATCTAGAGAATGACTGAGACTAGGGGCTGTTTGTTCACTGGGGTCACCATCTAGAGAATGACTGAGGCTAGGGGCTGTTTGTGTTCCCTGGGGTCACCATCTAGAGAATGACTGAGGCTAGGGGCTGTTTGTGTTAACTGGGGTCACCATCTAGAGAATGACTGAGGCTAGGGGCTGTTTGTGCGCTGGGGTTACCATCTAGAGAATGACTGAGGCTAGGGCTGTTTGTTAACTGGGGTCACCATCTAGAGAATGACTGAGGCTAGGGCTGTTTGTTCACTAGGGTCACCATCTAGAGAATGGCTGAGACTAGGGGCTGTTTGTTCACTGGGGTCACCATCTAGAGCAGGGGTCGGGAACCTTTTTGACTAAGAGAGCCATGAAAGCAAAAAAATTGGAAATTTATTTCAGTGAGAGCCATATAATATATTTTAAAAGTGAATTTCAACTAAATGTCAGTATAATAAGCCTCTGAATTTATTCTTTTAAATAATGTTGTTATAACACTCACCATTAATGCGACTTCTGGTGCTGCATGGATTTGCTGATGTCTTTGTAGTCGGGTTGGTACTTGGTGAGGTTAAGCTTCATGCAAGCGTTGAGGCTTTCATCCGTTAAACGTGATCGTAGGTTGGACTTGATGTTTTAAGATGTGAGAATGACTGCTCACATGCATACGTAGATCCAAACATGGTCAATACAGCAATACTCACACGCTGCAGTGTGTGGTATGTGACAGGAAGCGCGTTCCAAGTTTTGAGAATCAGCTGGTCTTCGGGTTGGAGTTTTTTCATTTCTGTCCACATGTGCTTGCTCGCCAACTCCGCTTTCTGTCGTGTGATTCTTTCCAAATCTTCATTCAGTGACTTGAACTTATTCACCCACATGTCTGAGGCCTTCAGGTCAGCCACTTCTGCTTCAAAATCTCTGACGGAGACACCAGGGATGTAATTCAGGTCGGCTGTGTTCAGTGAACACTCGTTTGGATGGGTGATGAACTTAAAAAGACGAGTGTGCTCACGAAATTCTCCAAAGCGTGCTTTGAAGGATTGTAGGAGACTGGATGTGCAGCCAGCTAGCTGGTGGAGATCAGGTTTTGAATGGCTCACTTGCTGTGCATGCATCTTTAAATTGGCTCAGTTTTTCAAAATGTAGTAACGACCTGTTTCAAGATCCGTGATGAAAAGCTCCAGCTTGTTTTCAAAAGCAAATACAGCTTGTTGAAGGGATAACACTGTATTTCCAATGCCTTGCATTTTCACGTTGAGCTGGTTCAGATGTTCAGTCAGATCTACGAGATAGTAAAACTTGAGGAGCCACTCGGTGTCGGCTAGCTCAGGATGCCCGACGCCTTTCATTTCAAGGAAAGTCCGGATTTCGTTCAGGCAAGCCGCAAAACGGCTAAGCACCTTCCCTCTTGACAACCAACGCACATTGCTGTGCAAAAGCAGACCAGGATAGTTATTTACAACTTCATCCAGCAGTGTTTTAAACTGGCGATCATTTAAGGCTCGGGCAACAATAAAGTTGATCACACGAATGACCAGCGACATCACTTCGCCAAACTGCCTGTCACACATCTGAGCACAAAGTGCCTCCTGGTGTATAATGCAATGGAAACTTAGGATGGGTCTATTTTCATGTTCACGGAGAAGCGCCACAAATCCTTTGTTTTTCCCCACCATACACGGAGCACCATCAGTACACACTGAGAGAAGTTTATCCATAGGTAGACTTTTTTCTTGAGCAAACTCCATGAAAGACTTGAATAAATCCTCACCTCTTGTGGACCCTTTTAATGGCAGAACAGCAAGACTTTCTTCGCGCAGTGTGTCACCAACAGCATATCTTGCAATCACGCTGAACTGCGACAAATGGCTCACGTCTGTTGACTCATCCAAAGCCAGAGAAAAGAACGGCGCTGCATTTATGTCCTTCACTTGCGTTTCCTCCACTTTGTTTGCCATCACGATGGTACGATCATGAACAGTTCTTGCCGACAGAGGCATGTCTTGTATCCGTTTGATTATCTTGTTTTTGTTCGGAAGATCATCAAAAAGTTCATTGGCTACATCCAGCATGAACGTTTTAGCATACTCGCCATCTGTGAATGGTTTTCCGTTCCTCACTATTGCTAAAGAACCAGCAAAGCTAGCCGAATTATAGTCACCTTGCCGGGTCCATACGCGGAGTTGCTGCTGGCTAGCTTGCACCCTGCTCAGAAGCTCTTAGCACGCTTTCTTTCTGCTGTCTCCCGCAGGGTATTTTGATGCAAAGGTAGCGTGGCGCGTGTCGAAGTGCCGCTTTACATTCGACCGTTTCAACGATGTAATTTTGTCATTGCAAATTAGACACACCGCAGAACCCGCTCTCTCCACAAAGGCGAATTCTTCGGTCCATTCGTCCTGAAATGTACGATACTCGTCGTCTTTTTTTCTTTTCGCCATCTTCTTCGTCGAAGGGTTAGCTTTGAGCTAATGACCGAGCAGACGCAGTCTCAGACTGATTCAAAAGGGGGCGTTTACCTGTTTTACCCAGCAACGGCAAACGTAGGCCAGTATCATCCAATTAAAATAATGGACAATTGCTCCTGCAGCCCTGAACAGGACATGCGCAGTGAAAAATCGATGGATGGATTAAAACAAGTGAGAATATTTTGTTTTATCTGCGAGCCATATGCAATCATCAAAAGAGCCACATCTGGCTCGCGAGCCATAGGTTCCCGACCCCTGATCTAGAGAATGACTGAGGCTAGGGGCTGTTTGTGTGTTGGGAGAGGCATGGAGCGGTCATCATTTGAAACTCTACGCCCCGCCCTCTCTGCGCCCTGCCCTCTGTATGCCCCGCCCTCTCTGCGCCCCGCCCTCTCTACGCCCCGCCCTCTCTACGCCCCGCCCTCTCTGCGCGCCGCCCTCTCTGCGCCCCGCCCTCTCTATGCCCCGCCCTTTCAAGTGGTAAGAGTTTTATTCATGGGCGGTTCGTGGTTGCAAAGATATAGCGATTTCAAATCGGGTCCATTTTTTCGAAACACCCTGTATAACAATTGTTGTTGTTTTCGTTTTTGTTGATGTTTTTTTTTTGTTTTTTTGTAGTTTCTCCCCCTGTGTATTCGCGGCCATTTGGCGGGCACTTTTTCGTTTTCCTAATCCTCCTCCTCTCGCGTGCCTCGCTCCGTGTGTGCCCCCCCCCACCCGCTCCACCGCTGCCCCCCCCCCCCCCAGCAGCGTCCGCCAAAGCCGAGGCCCCGGACCCAAAAAAAAATGAACAAAGAGGTGAAGAGGATCTGCTGCCCGGTCTGCAACTGGGTGGTGGTCAGCCTGCCCGCCCTGGAGGACCACATGAAGCGCCACGCGGGCCGCACCGAGCCCGTCGTGTACCGGTGCCCCCACTGCCCGTACGGCGCGGACACGGTGAGCGTCCTCATCGGCCACCAGGCGACGCACGACGCGGCCGAGTCGCGCAAGTGCGCCGAGTGCGGCAAGGTGCTGGTCGACGCCGAGGCGCTGCGCCGCCACGAGGCGTCGCACGCCCGCGAGAGGCCCCACAAGTGCACCATGTGCGACATGGCGTTCGCGCAGGCCGAGGGCCTCGTCGCCCACCGGAGGATCCACGCGCGCGAGGTGCTCTTCCAGTGCGTCGACTGCGGCGCGGAGTTCGCCCGCGCCGACTACCTCCGAGGCCACCAGCGGACGCACACGGGCGAGCGCCCGCACGGCTGCGCCGAGTGCGGCAAGACGTTCGCCCGCTCGGGGAGCCTCCGCGCCCACGGCCGGACGCACACGGGCGAGCGGCCGTACGCGTGCGGCGAGTGCGGCAGGGCGTTCGCGCGCTCGGGGGCGCTGCTGACGCACCGGCGGACGCACACGGGGGAGCGGCCGTACGCGTGCGCCGAGTGCGGCAGGGCGTTCGCCCGCTCGGACAACCTCGTCGCGCACGGCCGGCTGCACTCGGGCGAGCGGCCGCACGCGTGCGCCGAGTGCGGCGAGGCGTTCGCCGACCGCGTTGGCCTGCGCGTTCACGAGAGGGCGCACACGGGCGAGAGGCCGTACGCGTGCGGCGTGTGCGGCGAGGCGTTCGCCCGCTCGGGGGCGCTGCACACGCACAAGATGGTGCACACTGGCGAGAGGCCGTACGCGTGCGGCGAGTGCGGCAAGGCGTTCGCACGCTCGGGGGCGCTGCACGCGCACAAGCGGAGCCACGCGGCGGAAACTCCGTGAGGCGGAATTGGTCCGGGCGTGCGTGTGTGCGCGGGTTTCGTGTTTTGGTGCGTGCGTGTGTGCGTGTGGGTTCGTGTTTGGGTGCGTGTGTGTGTGCGCGGGTTCGTGTTTGGCTGCGTGTGTGCGCGTGTGTGTGCGGGTTCGTATTTGGGTGCGTGCGTGTGTGTGCGGGTTCGTGTTTGGGTGCGTGTGTGCGCGTGTGTGTGCGGGTTCGTATTTGGGTGCGTGCGTGTGTGTGCGGGTTCGTGTTTGGGTGCGTGTGTGTGTGCGTCACCCGCAGTCGGTCTCGTGTTTTGTGAGCGCCAGGTCTCTGTGTGTGGGTGTGTGCGTGTCTTTGTGTGTGGTTGCGTGCGTGCGTGCGTGGTGAGCGGTGGTGATGCGGTTAGAGATCTTCTCTATGAACCCGGCAGAGACCAGAGGTCTATTCCGGATCACGGCCAACACCAGGTGACAATTACCTAAACCGGTCCTGGGCCTCCGCTACTAAGTCGACTCAGCCTCAAATGAGTACCTGGTGCGATGTGTAAGCATCGCCACTGGGGAGACAAAGGCGGCCGTGCGTGGTTTTGGCCACCCTACCCCTCGTGTGCCGTACCGGCCTTCACAGCTTGCTCGCCAACAGCACTTGCCCCTACAGTCTCGTTACTACAGCCTGTACGGGGGGGAGGGGGGGGCCTTCCGGGATCGAACCCACGACCTCCTGCATACCAGGCGAGGCAGTTCACATCTCGTCGCCACCGTGATGATGAGAGGAGGGAGAGACACGCAGACTCTACATATACGGCAGGCGTCAGTCAGGGTCGGGATCGAACCTGTGACCTCCTGCGGAATCTCGCGTCACGGCTCGTGGTCCCATCTCGTGGTCCCATCTCGTGGTCCCATCTCGTGGTCCCATCTCGTGGTCCCATCTCGTGGTCCCATCTCGTGGTCCCATCTCGTGGTCCCATCTCGTGGTCCCATCTCGTGGTCCCATCTCGTGGTCACGGTTTACCCAGTGAGGTCTGTTTTCCGGGAACACAGCGGCGACGTTTCCAGGCTGTTTGTATACACGTGTCTGTCTGTGTGTGTGTGTACACCTGCTGGGTCTGCCCCGTGAACTCCGGGCCGGCGGGCGTTCGACACTTCACGTGGCCTGAACGTGCACCTAGCCTGGCACAAGCGCCGCGGTGGTTGTTGTTGTTGTGTATGTGTGTGTGTAGCAGTAGTGTAGAGGTTAGCGCTACGCCGCGCGACGAACCCAGCGACCCGGGTTCCATTCCCGCTCACGGCCAACACCACCGGTGACGATTATCTGAACCGGGCCTGGGCCTCCCCTAGGTCGGCTCAGCCTCAACTGAGCACCCGGTGCGGTGTGTAGTGAACATCGCCGCCGGGGAGACAAAGGCGGCCGGGCGTGGTGCTGGCCACCCACCCCCTCGTGTGCCGTGCCGGCCTTCGTAGTCGCTTGCTAACAGTCCGTTCCAAGCTATACAGGGGGGGGGGGGTCTTTTTTTTTCTCTGTATGTACTGTACGTCGAACTTCTTTCGCGCCGTACGTGAGCCGAGCGTCGCTAATCGGTGGTGCGGCGGGGGGGGGGGGGGGGGGAACAAACTTAACAAGCAGTTGTAGGTGTTTCAGTGTAGATGTAAAAGTGCATCGCAGCATTCCGGCGGCGACGATGCGGCGACCCATCCCCCGCCGCCACCGCCTTCGGTCGGCGACTCGGCCGCAAGCCGCCACTGAACGCCGCGGCCGCCGTTGCGAGGACGCCGGCGCTTGCCGACGATCCGCAGTTCCTTGACGAGACTCGGCTCAACTCGACGCGTCAATTACGGCGCGCGGCGATTGTCCCGCGCGATCCCTGGAGCGAGGAGCGACCGAGACGGCGGAAGAGCGAACGCTCCACGCACCCGATTTGGGCGTGGCACGGCGGGCCGAGCGGATTGGCCGGGGAGCGCTCAAGAGGGGAAAAAGAGCCCCGGGAGGGTTTGGCGAGCGTCAGGTGGGACGGTTAGGCCAGGTGAGGGCAAGAGGTGATGAGGTGCGCAGCCAGGAAGAGGGTAAAAGAGTGGGTGACGTGGGGTGAGTGGGTGGGTGAGATGGGTGGGTGAGGTGGGTGGGTGAGGTGGGTGAGTGAGGTGGGTGAGTGGGTGGGGTGGATGATTTAGGTGGGTGAGATGGGTGAGTGGGTGGGTGAGTGTGGTAGGTGAGGTTGGTGTGGTGAGGTGAGGTGGGTGTGGTGGGTGGGTGAGGTGGGTATGGTGGGTGAGGTGGATGGGTGAGGGGGGTGGGTGAGGGGCGGGTGGGTGTGGGGGTGGATGAGTGGGGTGGGTGAGGTGGGTTTGGGGGTGGGCGAGTGGGGTAGGTGAGGTGGGTGGGTGAGTGAGCGTCAGGTGAGACGGTTAGGCCAGGTGAGGGCAAGAAATTATTGGTGGAGACGGAGTGTGATGAGGTGCGCAGCCAGGAAGAGGTTAGAGAGGCGGAGAGAGCGACAGAGCGGGGGCGAAGCTGTGGACCCGTGCCGTCAAATAAAGACCTTACCTCGGTAACAAACAAAAGTGCCAGAGTCTTCCTTCACAATGACAACACGTACGGGTGGAGTGACGCGCCTCTCGAAGCTGGGCTACTTTGAGAGGGCAGAGGCTTTCGGTGACCTTTCCACCACCTCCTGGTTATGACAGGCGGAGACTTTCAGTGACCTCCGTGGAGTCCCCTGTCAATTAAAACCCCACCACCTCCTGGCTACGACAGGTGGAGACTTTCAGTGACCTCTGTGGAGTCCCCTGCCAACTAAAACCCCACCACCTCGTGACTACGACAGGCGGAGACTTTCAGTGACCTCTGTGGAGTCCCCTACCAACTAGAACCCCACCACCTCCTGGCTACGACAGGCGGAGACTTTCAGTGACCTCCGTGGAGTCCCCTGCCAACTAAAACCCCACCACCTCCTGGCTACGACAGGCGGAGACTTTCAGTGACCTCCGTGGAGTCCCCTGCCAACTAAAACCCCACCACCTCCTGGCTACGACAGGCGGAGACTTTCAGTGACCTCTGTGGAGTCCCCTGCCAACTAAAACCCCACCACCTCCTGGCTACGACAGGCGGAGACTTTCAGTGACCTCTGTGGAGTCCCCTGCCAACTAAAACCCCACTACCTCCTGGCTACGACAGGCGGAGACTTTCAGTGACCTCTCTGTGGAGTCCCCTGCCAACTAAAACCCCACCACCTCGTGACTACGACAGGCGGAGACTTTCAGTGACCTCTGTGGAGTCCCCTGCCAACTAAAACCCCACCACCTCCTGGCTACGACAGGCGGAGACTTTCAGTGACCTCTGTGGAGTCCCCTGCCAACTAAAACCCCACTACCTCCTGGCTACGACAGGCGGAGACTTTCAGTGACCTCTCTGTGGAGTCCCCTGCCAACTAAAACCCCACCACCTCGTGACTACGACAGGCGGAGACTTTCAGTGACCTCTGTGGAGTCCCCTGCCAACTAAAACCCCACCACCTCCTGGCTACGACAGGCGGAGACTTTCAGTGACCTCTGTGGAGTCCCCTGCCAACTAAAACCCCACCACCTCCTGGCTACGATCGGTGACCTCTGTGGAATCCCCTACCAACTAAAACCCCACAACCTGCTGGCTACGACAGGCAGAGACTTTCGGTGACCTCTGTGAAGTCCCCTACCAACTAAAACCCCACCACCTCCTGGCTACGACAGGCAGAGACTTTCAGTGACCTCTGTGGAGTCCCCTGCCAACTAAAACCCCACCACCTCCTGGCTACGACAGGCGGAGACTTTCAGTGACCTCTCTGTGGAGTCCCCTACCAACTAAAACCCCACCACCTCGTGGCTACGACAGGCAGAGACTTTCGGTGACCTCTGTGGAGTCCCCTGCCAACTAAAACCCCACAACCTGCTGGCTACGACAGGCAGAGACTTTCGGTGACCTCTGTGAAGTCCCCTACCAACTAAAACCCCACCACCTCCTGGCTACGACAGGCAGAGACTTTCAGTGACCTCTGTGGAGTCCCCTGCCAACTAAAACCCCACCACCTCCTGGCTACGACAGGCGGAGACTTTCGGTGACCTCTGTGGAGTCCCCTACCAACTAAAACCCCACCACCTCCTGGCTACAACAGGCAGAGACTTTCAGTGACCTCTGTGGAGTCCCCTACCAACTAAAACCCCACCACCTCCTGGCTACGACAGGCAGAGACTTTCAGTGACCTCTGTGGAGTCCCCTGCCAACTAAAACCCCACCACCTCGTGACTACGACAGGCGGAGGCTTTCGGTGTACGCCTGATTGGGTATCGCAATCTGTATTCATCCGGGAGAAACAGATGTCCAGTAAGGGGCACGGACCGCGGGGTTAGACAGTTACACAAACAGCAAACAACCAAACGAATACAACAAACAAAATGCAAACCATAGAAAGGCTCTGCAAATCACGAAAAAAAATGTACTGAAACTAAACTAGTTGTGTTTCTTTACCAGGTAAGGCCACACGGAGCTGCTATGTTACTAGTGCTTTTTCAGAAGCGACCCTGGGCCATCACAAACAATAGGGGCTGTACCAAATGGCTGATATCGTCGTCGTGCGGAAATGCACAGCAGCAGACAAATACTCTAAAACGCGTGGTGATGTCGATTCTGAATGTGGAGGGGAGAACCCAAGCAAACAACTCCAAATACACGGGCGTCGTCAGGGTCGGGATCGAACCCACGACCTCCTGCACACCAGGCGAGGCGGTTAACATCTCCCGGCCACACACAAATCATATACAGCAGCAGGCATCGTCAGGTCAGGATTGAACCCTCAACTTCCTGCGCACCAGGCGAGGGAGTTAACATTTCCTAGCCACCGTGATGATGATGATGATGATGAGAGAGACGCAGACTCCAAATATACAGCAGCAGGCATCGTCAGGGTAGCGATCAAACCCACGACATCCTGTACACCAGGCAAGGTAGTCAACATCTCCTAGCCACCGTGATGACGGGAGAGAGAGACGCAAACTCCAAATATACAGCAGCAGCAGGCATCGTCAGGGTAGCGATCAAACCCCACCTGTACACCATCTCCCCAGCCACCGGGATGTTTGAGATGCTCAAATCTCAGAAATCGACACCGGTTTTGAAAGGCGGCGTCAATTCCGCATGACCCACAGGTCTGTGTGTCAAACAAAACCACGCAAACGCACGTGGCTCCGGCACAATAGACGCGTCGTCTTCGCACACCGGTAAGCCTACACCAGACGGTCACCACCACCGGTAACATTACCGATATACCCCAAGCCGGAAGCCCTCCCACATTGACCCACGCGACCGAATGTTGTCGCCCACGGGGACGCAAACAACGTGGCGAGAGCGAATGTCTTCTACGTAAATGAAGACCTTGATATGTACGTGGTCTCAAAAATATCTCGAGGGGGTTACCTGCCGACAAGGAAGGCCGCTGACATTTGGTACGCAGGTAGCGTTTAGGACACAAACAATAAAGACCTGAACGTGTCCGTGGTCTCAAAAATCTCGAGGGGGTTACTTGCTGACAAGGTAGGAAGCTGACATTTGGTACCCAGGTAGCTTTTAGAACACAAACAAACTCCAAGATTCGTCATTTTAATAGCCCCCAAAACTTGATTTTTTTAAGTGCCACACAAACACGTTTGTGTGATGTCATTCAGAAGCCGTTGGCGAAATCAGATTGCGGAGGTTTTTTCGTTCGACAAGGGAGCGCGAGACAAATAAAATCAAAGCGAGATCCACACCTGGGGTTCTATCCTTTGAGTTTTTTTTAGACATTTCGGATGCAGGTGTTTTTTTGGTTTTTGAACGACGAAAAAAAGATTCGCGCTTTATACGACGTTCACGTCTGAATAGTTTTGGAAAACGCTAAAGGCAGGATACTATTAAGCTCGTAACCTTCTCGTTCTTTCTAAAAACAGCGACGTTTTAAACCGAGCGGCTTCCCGTAAGCGGGGAGAAGCGGTAATCGCGGCCGTCAAACCATTTTTTTGGTGGATTTAGCGACGAAAATTGCGTGGAGTTTGTTGTTAAAAGTGTGATCTGATTGCACCCTGTACACTACATTATACACTACACTATACACTACACTACTATACACAACACTCTACTGCTATACACTAGACCAGGGGTCCCCAACCCCTAGGCTGCAGACCGGTTCCGGTCCGTGGCCTGTTAGGAACCGGGCCGCACAGCAGGAGGTGAGAGCGGCGAGTCCACGCGTGGCCCGCCCATTATTTTATTATTTACCACTTCCATCCGCGCCTCTTTCCCGCACTGCGCACTCAGTCTCAGTCACGGTTTTGGTAACACCACAAGCTGACCCCCTAGTGGCCACAATGAGTAAAAAACAAACATCGTCGGAGAGCTTCTTTGAAAAGGGGGATGAGTCTGTGGGTCTCTGTGATGAGTCTGTGGGTCTCTCTGTGGTGAGTCTGTGGGTCTCTGGATGAGTCTGTGGGTCTCTGTGATGAGTCTAAAGGGTCTCTGTAATGAGTCAGTGGGTCTCTGTGATGAGTCTGTGGGTCTCTGTGATGAGTCTGTGGGTCTCTGTGTGATGAGTCTGTGGGTCTCTGTGTAGTGAGTCTGTGGGTCTCTGTGTGGCGAGTCTGTGGGTCTCTGCGTAATGACTCTGTGGGTCTCTGTGTGGCGAGTCTGTGGGTCTCTGCGTAATGAGTCTGTGGGTCTCTGTGTGGTGAGTCTGTCTCTCTGTGTGGTGAGTCTGTGGGTCTCTGCGTAATGAGTCTGTGGATCTCTCCAGCTCTCCACCTAGCTCCCGTTAGCTCTCCCCTATCTCTCCCCCTTAGCTCTCCCCCTTATCTCTCCCCTATCTCTCCCCCTTAGCTCTCCCCCTTAGCTCTCCCCTATCTCTCCCCCTTAGCTCTCCCCTATCTCTCCCCCTATCTCTCCCCCTTAGCTCTCCCCCTTAGCTCTCCCCCTTAACTCCCCCTTAACTCTCCCCTATCTCTCCCCCTTAGCTCTCCTTGGCTCTCTCCGCGTGCTCGTGAGAGTCGAGCCTCCGTGCCGCGTCCCGGAAGTAGGCGATGGCCTCGCGCGACGTCTGCAGCCTCTCTTTGGCCTGGGCGATCTCCTCGCTGATCTTGCGGCGGGCAGCCTCCAGACGCTCCCTCGTGCGCAGCTCCAGCTCAACGACTTAGCGGGGGGAGGGGGGCGGGGGCAGAGGGAGGGGGGGGAGAGAGGGGGGGAGAGAGGGGAGAGGCGGGGGAGAGAGGGGGGGGGAGAGAGGGGAGGGAGAGAGAGGGGAGGGGAGAGAGGAGGGGGAGAGAGGGGAGAGAGGGGGGGAGTGAGAGGGGGAGAGAGGGGGAGGGAGAGGGGAGAGAGGGAGAGAGGGGAGGGAGGGGGGAGGAGAGGGGGGGAGAGAGGGGAGGGGAGAGAGGGGGGAGAGAGGGGAGAGAGAGGGGGGGGAGAGAGGGGGGTAGGGAGAGAGAGAGAGGGGGGAGAGAGGGGAGAGAGAGGGGGGGAGAGAGGGGGGGGAGAGAGAGGGGGTAGGGAGAGAGGGGGGGGGAGAGAGGGGAGAGGAGGGGGTAGGGAGAGAGAGGGGAGAGAGAGGGGGGAGGGAGAGGGGGGGGGGGGGAGAGAGGGGGGGGGAGAGGGGGAGAGAGGGGGGGGGAGAGAGAGGGGGTAGGGAGAGAGGGGGGGGGGAGGAGAGAGAGAGGGGGGGGAGAGAGAGGGGGGGGAGAGGGAGGGGGTAGGGAGAGAGAGGGGAGAGAGAGGGGGGGGGAGAGAGAGAGGGGGGAGAGAGGGGGTAGGGAGAGAGAGGGGGTAGGGAGAGAGCGATCGACAGTGTAGAGGTCAACGCGCTGCACTATGAACCTGGCGACCCGAGATTCCCGTTCACGGCGAACACGATTATCTGACCCGGTGCTGGGCCTCCCCTAGGTCGACTCAGCCCCAAATTAATACCTGGTGCTGTGTGTGTAGTACACATCGCCACTGGGGAGGCAAAGGCGGCCGGGCGTGGTGCTGGCCACCCACCCCCTCGTGTGCCATTCTGGCCTTCGTAGGTGCTCGCTAACAGCACTTGCCCATACAGTCTATACGGGGGATCTTTGTCTTTGTTAGTGTGTAGGTTGTAAGTGTTGTGTGTGCGTGTGTGCGTGTGTGCGAGTGTTGGTGTGTGTGTGTTGGTGTGTGTGCGTGTGTTGGTGTGTGTGCGTGTGTTGGTGTGTGTGCGTGTGTGTGTGCGTGTGTTGGTGTGTGTGTGTGTGCGTGTGTAGGTATGTTATATATTTCAGTCGTAGTGGAGCCCCCTAATGGAACATCTTCGCCGGTTAGAAACATTTAGGCTGGCCTGCCTACGATCCATCCTGGGTTTAACCAGACTGGATTGTGTGAGGAGCTCACAAATCCTTGAAAGATCTGGGCAAGGTTTTATCGGTGAGCTCCTCCGGCGGGCAAGGCTGCGATGGCTGGGTCATGTAGCCCGCATGCCCAGCCACCGCATGCTGAAACAGCTTTTGTTGGGCTGGATTGAGGGGGCTAAGCGGGCGCAGCACGGGCTAGAGAAGAGATGGAGTGATGTGGTACAGGAGGACGTGGAGCTGAGTGGACTTGCCGATGACTGGTACCAGCGGTGTCAAGATCGGCCTCTGTGGAGGAGGCTCGTGAAGGATGCTACTGGACAGTTGGAGGTAATCGCCCTCCAACAACAACGGAGGGCGGAGGAGCGACGCTCAGAACAAGCGGAGCGCCGGGTGGCTAAAGCACAGGAGGTTGGCACAGTAGGGGGCACAGGTGGTGCATCAGCCAGTCATCTCAGTCAGTCGACCCGTGGCACCTGGGTCTGCCCCGTGACCTCCTGCCAGCGGGCGTTCGACACTTCACGTGGCCTCAGGGTGCACATAGCCTTGCACAAGCGTCGTGGTGACGTCACCACCACTTAGTGGCGAATGGCGGTTGTTGTTGTTGTAGGTGCGTGTGTGTGCATGTGCGAGTGTGTGTGCGAGTGTGTGTGAGTGTGTAGGTGTGTGAGTATGCGTGTGTAAGTGTGTGAGTATGCGAGTGTGTGTGTGTGTGTAGGTGTGTGAGTGTGAGTATGCGAATGCGTGTGTGTGTGTGTACGTGTGCGCGTGTGCGCGTGTCCGAGTGTGTGTGTGAGTGTGCCTGCGTCACTCACAGTCCGTCTCGTGCTTATGAGCTCCGAGCGTGAGCTGCCGAGACGTCGTGAGGAGCTGCTGCATCATCGCCGTGGGGTCCTGAAAGATCTGAGAAGACGCGGAGATACGCAGACACGCAACTGATCCACGCACTCGTGTCTATTGTTGCCAGCTAAGGCCCTGTGTGGCCTGGCCATCACATCTGATAGCAGCTCGAACGAGCGGTGGCTTATCGCGTGCACATTTGTAGCAGGAGGCAAATACTCTCAACGTGTTTCTACAGACTCCTAGAGACCCACGGAGAGCCACAGAGACCCAAAGAGACCCACGGAGACCCACAGAGACCCACAGAGACCCAAGGAGACCGACGGAGATCCACGGAGACCCACAGAGACCCACAGAGACTCACAGAGACCCACAGAGACTCACAGAGACCTACAGAGACTCACGGAGACCCACGGAGACCCACAGAGACTCACAGAGACCCACGGAGACCCACAGAGACTCACAGAGACCCACAGAGATTCACAGAGACTCAGAGACTCACGGAGATTCACAGAGACCCACAGAGATACACAGATTCACAGAGACCCACAAAGACCCTCAGAGACCCACAGAGACACACAGAGACCCACAGAGACACACAGAGACCACAGAGACCCACAGAGACCCACAGAGACACACAGAGACCCACAGAGACCAACAGAGACCCACGGAGACCACAGAGACCCAGAGAGACCCACGGAGACCCACAGAGACCCACAGAGACCCACAGAGACCACAGAGACCCACAGAGAGACACAGAGACCGATAGAGACCCACAGAGATACACAGAGACCCCAGACCCGCAGAGACCCACAGAGACCCAAGGAGACCGACGGAGATCCACGGAGACCACAGAGACTCACAGAGACCCACAGAGATTCACAGAGACTCATAGAGACTCACGGAGATTCACAGAGACCCACAGAGATACACAGATTCACAGAGACCCACAAAGACCCTCAGAGACCCACAGAGACACACAGAGACCCACAGAGATACACAGATTCACAGAGACCCACAAATACCCTCAGAGACCCACAGAGACACACAGAGACCCACGGAGACACACAGAGACCCACAGAGACCCACAGAGACCCACAGAGACCCACAGAGACCCCAGAGACCCACAGAGACACACAGAGACCCCAGAGATCCACAGAGACCCCAGTGATTCACAGAGACCCACAGAGACGCACGGAGACCCACGGAGACTCAGGGAGATCCAGAGACCCACAGAGATACACAGATTCACAGAGACCCCACAGAGACCCACAGAGACACACAGAGACCCACAGAGACACACAGAGACCCACAGAGACCCACAGAGACCCATAGAGACCCACACAGAGACCCACGGAGACCCACGGAGACACAGAGACCCACAGAGACCCACAGAGACAGAGAGAGGCACAGAGACCCACAGAGATCCACGGAGACCCACAGAGACCCACAGAGACCCACGGAGACTCACAGAGACCCACAGCTTGTGTGTCTGTCTGTGTGTCCCCGTGTCTGTGTT